TCCTCCTCACAGCAGACAATGCGGAGCCGGCCCGGGACGGCCGACCGAAAGTCGCCCAGTCGCGCGTGCTCGTCGAATCCGATTAGCGCTGTTGGGGTCCTGGCGAGAGTGACCCCTTGCCACGCAGGAATGCGATGAATCCCACTCGCCAGGGTACCCCGTTCACAGGAACGGGTGACAGGGCTGTGACACGGCGTGGATTTGACTCTTGGACCATGATTGCCTACGTTTGTGGCGAACGGGGAAGTGGTCTTTTATCGAGGTCTAGTAGCGGACTGAGCGCGACATTCATGTGTTAACACCCAGGCACTTAGCCGCGTCTTTGTCGTGTTTACACGGTCACATTCGCCGAACACGGCCGGCTTATAGCGGTGGTTGCCGATTAGCGGCCGTTCCGGCACACACCTGGGACTGTGCTGGCCGAAATCCGGCGGGTGGCGGTCTCGGCCACTCGCGGCCCGGCCGGCGGACACAATCGCCGAGTCAGCAGACACCTGGGAGTCGTGAGGGCACCGGAACCTGTCCGCCGAGCCGCTATCTGCACTGAGAGGATTTACACAGGAAAGCGCACCAGCTGGGTGGTCGTCCGCCCAACGGAATGACGGCTTAGCTGCTAAGTACCGGCAAGATGAGAGTGCTGCCATGGACTTAAGAGCGGCTGGCAATGAAAAGTCATGGTCGTGAACTAAAAATAAGCATCCAATCCTGACTTCCACCAATACAGCAACGATGATTCACTCAAATGTTTATCTTTGTTATATAATTCCTGAACTCGGTTGACCAAAAGGTTAGTTTTATAGTCTTTTGTTGCATCAAAAGCGAAATCAGTATTTATTGGGCAATCGGCATCATTATCGTTCGTCGGAAATTGGATAATTATTTCCTGGTATATTAATTAATTTCTTGCCGCGTAGATAGGACTTATGATAATTAACGCCTTTGATCATTACTAGTCATCCATCCTATTCTTTCTCCTCGGAATGACATCAAAGTTATTCACCATCGACCTATGTACGGAGATCTATGCATTATTAACCTATCATAAAACAGGCACTGATATATTGAACGAAGCACCAAAAAGCGGCTCATAAAAGTCGTCGCTTTTACCCTCTCTGAATCTCTCAAGTTGGCAAAGTTGTAAACAGGGACCTCAATTTATTGCTGTTGCAGATATGCAATTTCCGAAAAATGAAGTGAATTGAAAGAAAGGGCAAGCCAAACATGTAAATAGCTGGATCTTATCCGTAAAAGTCAATCGAACTCAAAAAGCATTTAATTTGAAGTATGCTTATACATATAAGTCGTTTTTCATCTTATGCAGCACGCAACTATCGCGTGGCTCTGCGTTTTTGATACCGTGTTTTTCAGCTCTCCTAGGAGAACTGCACGTTCTGCCGTACCTCGCTCCGTCTTTGACCGTATCTGGGCAGCTGGGCGCTCTGTCTCCCCCCTCCTCCCCTCCCCTCCCGGAGACGAAGCGACAGAGCCGGGGGCGGGCCGACGAATTAAACCCATCCGCCGCGCGCCTCCAACCGTTGCCGGCTGCGACGCTCGGCCGCCTTTCAGATCACTAATTACCGTCGGTAATCGGAGCCGACGGCGGTCGCCGCAACCGGCGTCCACCGGCGCCCCGCGGCGCACATCGACTCATCGCTGGCGACACTGAATTGGCGCTGTCCGCAGCGGCCGGCCGGTCGGCGTCCACACTCGCACAGGCCACAATGCGCCGGTTGTGCGAGTCTATGGTATCTCGCTGGGTGATTGGCGCGGTGGGTTCACCCGGTGGTGTCAACACGCCCGTGTCAGGGGAGGGGAGGGGTGCACCGATGACAGGGTAACTCTTTGTTCGATGTGGACGCTGGCGCGAATTGGGCGATGAATAGGCCAGCGCGTACGTTTTCAAATGGTCACAATTCGTGATGAATATTATCGAGCTTCAGTTGGCTTTGTTTACTTTTCAATCAGATGATTGGTGTTATGATTTTGAGTCACTTTTGGGTACAAGTTGTACCCGTGCAAGGCCATACAACGTCAGTCAGTTCATGCAATTCACAAATAGGTTCCGTTATAGGTCCGGTGTTCGCAAAAGTTCAAAGACATTTACTTTCCAGGCATCCATCTAATTTTTTTGCGTTGATATACCTACTTGAAAGAATGGTTTTGAGGCTGAAATTCTTGAAATTGTTGCTTATGTATTTTGAATATGTTTTGGCCGTTTTCACGACGGCTATCTGGTAAGATTTTGTGCACATTTGAGGCACATTTGGTGCAGATTTGGTCATGCTTGGTACATTCGTCACATGACCCGTCGTGAAAATGGCTACTTCTAGGCTCTAGCATCACGCCCACACCAAATTGACTCCTTACTTCATGTATAGCCAAAATAGTACATCCTTCCAAAAAAGTCAGTTCTTTTAGAATGGTGCATCACAGACTACTCTTTATTTTATGTATCATGTCGCATCACTTCAAAGTTCAAACGGCCTCTAGACTGAATATGCCAAGGCACTAGCCCCCTCTCTCCCTTGCTTAGTGACAATCGTCACAGCGAGCACATCAAATTACAAATGAGCCGACCGTTATCCACCTCATCTGATGACTGTAACCTCACGCTTCATCAATGCGGCTCATCGCGGCTCATCAGAGATGAGACACCGTGCTGCACGCTGCATAAGTAGCTCTCATCAAAGCAGAGAGGCAGAGACATTCAATTCTGCGGCAGCAGATTGGCAACAGATTCGAGCATTCTGGTTGGCGTATCCTGGGCCCAATCTTACCAAATGCCGTGAATGCGCATTCACGGCATATGGTAACATTCAGAACTATTCCACATTCACTTATTCATTCGTTCAGGCAACATTCATAATCATTCACGCTATCAAAATCAATGGACAAGATTAGCTGGATGTAAATAAAAAGGATATCTTTGATATCAGTGCCGTAAACTCCGGCCAGTGCTGCCAAATCCTATTTACGGCATCGGTAAGATTGGGCCCTGGTCAGTGTATAGAGTCTTATTGGCATGGTGCTTTTACACGGAGTGTTTGTTAGTAATGATGGTAATTTGACACGAACTTGTAATTCGGAGAACGCAACACTAATCACCAGAAATCAAAGATCATTGGGATTCCAATGCAATTTGTCTCTATATGTTTATGATCAAAACGATGCCTATCGTTTGTTAGAAATGAGCGGCTTAATTAAGCGGCTCATGTAATCGCATATACAGTAGAAGATCGACAATTGAGAACCACTTCTAGAAATATCAAACAAATAATTTGTTTCAGCAGCCAATGAAACTTTTCATGAGACACTTTCAAAGGACGCTAGATTAGTCGGGTGAGGGGACAGAATGTTGGCCTGAATAACGCAATAATTGATGCCCCTGTCTATTGGGCTCGCCCTTCTTCTGACTGGATAACTTTCGACACAAATTGGTGATATCTCGATTTTCCTAGGACATGTTACATTGTTTATTCCAAGATTGTTCATCGAAAGCAAAACTGTTTTCTATAAAGAAGCCACCCAGAAGGTCCATCGGTAGCCCTGACTATGTGCTCCGCTGCCCGCCGCGCCGCCCCCGAACGATCCGCGCGTCACTGACCGACCGTGCGCGCGCCGCGGCCACTCTTTTATGCCGTGACGCTCGTGACGAGCGGCGGTGATTAACAGTAACGAAGCCAAATACGCGGCTTATATTCGTCGCCACGCCGCCGATGGGATAATAATATCGTTACGCGCCTAACGACACCGTGTTTTTCGGCGCTGGGCGTGCCGGCCGGCCGGCGCGCCGCCGGTCGACCCGCTAATGCGCTCAATTAGTGGCGCTCCCGCACCGGGAGGTGCCGCGGGAGCCGCCGGGAGCCCCGGGAGCCCGAGGGTACCGCCGGGCGCCTGAGGGAGCCAGAGGGTCAGCCGACAGAGCTCGGAGCGCGACACGCGCCGCCGGCCAGGGAGACAGTGGGATTACAGCCAGTCGACATTCCTATTTGTTATCTCTGATGGCAAGAGGGGCGGAATACAATGTAGCTGCCCCTGGCATCAGAGATACTTCTAGTCGCCGTAGTCTAAGCAACGTTTGCTGTAACTACAGCCATCAGTACCTATCGGCGGTAAAACGATATCGAATAATGTGGAACCGTGTAACTATGCCCACCCGCTGGTGAAATCCCATCTCTCGGAACTGCGGTCGAAACTGAATCGGTCGTGACCAAGGCATTAGCTACGATGCACAGAGAGAACACGAGATGCCCGTCGTCCAACGGTCGAGTACGTCCACTGGCGATCATTGGTAGAGGAAGGCTTCGGTTGGTACGCCCGCATGTAGTCCGTCTGCATGTTTACAGCCCCACACCGGCCACCCGGCAGTGGCATGGTCTTGGAACTGTGGCTTTCGCTGTTCGAGGAACCCATTTCGCGGTTGCGCCTCACTTTCTGGCTTCGGGTCTGTTCTAAAGCCCCGCACGGCCACTTAGTGTGCAATGGACACGCTGGCGAGGTCTTAGCGTTTTCCTTGCCAGAATAGGAGCAGCTTAGGGAGTACTTTTCTATTTGAGAGGCTCTAATCCGTTCCTTGGTTCGCGATCCAGCCGAAACTCTGTCTCGATTACGGCAACCTTTGCTGAATGGCGTGCATAAGTCTGGACAATTACAGTGATACTCGGGACTCAGGCTCCCCATGTTTTCATGTTACTGCGGAAGTGTTTGAAAATTGGAGCCACTTCACCCCCCACTGGCAATCTTCTTTTTTCTATATATCTTTGCTCCAAATCGCTGACGGTATCCATTAATGCTTCTTAGCCCTTTACACTTTAGATCTGGTGACGTTTTCACAAAATTCATTGGCTCAAACCCTGACAGCCGATGACAGACTATCAAGAACAAGACTGCGTCTCCAATATTATGCTCTATTCTTATCTCCTATTTACAAAGAAGCGTCTAGCGCGTGAACCAGTGGACAGCAGACACATTCTGACCAACCCCGTTCCCTCTGTCCTCAGGTGTGGTTCCAGAACCGGCGCGCCAAGTGGCGGAAGACGGAGAAGACGTGGGGTCGCTCCACCATCATGGCCGAGTACGGTCTGTACGGCGCCATGGTGCGTCACTCGCTGCCGCTGCCGGAGACCATCGTCAAGTCGGTCAGCGAGGACAAGGACTGCCCGGCGCCCTGGCTGCTCGGTGGGTACCTGATCAGATGTCGAACAATTTAATTTGTTCGCATGCGAGAATAATAACAAAACATTTCTGATTTACCAAAAGTTTCGGCTTCAGACCCCATTCGTCAGTCGTTAGTTGAAAGTGAAAACGATGCTTGATATGATATTATACACATAATAATAAGGAAATCATTTATAATGTTACGTTCACCCGTCTATCTAGTCGTAACGGTTTTCACCGGTAATGATTTTCTCGTTTTGATAATGTCATCATGTTTTCAGAATATAAGTTTCCATTTCTAATTAATCATCCTTATGTATCACAGTCACACAATCACAATGTTTGTGATATTGTATAACTACGCACTTGATCCCAACTAACGACAATCTTGGCAATACCTGACTAATGACGATCCAGGAAACGGCAGCGCATTTTAACTCGTGTTATATCTAAATGATGCAATTTCTCACTCTACTTTACTGATGAAGAGCGCAATTACACACAGTGTAATTGTGCAGATGCGCACGCGAGATTGTCATCAGCATATCTAATTCCCGTCGCAGTCATTGCCAATCACACCTGATTGGGTATCGCTGACGAGCGGGCCCGTATCGGTGTCTCCCGGCGGGTCATACCCGATGCCGTCTGACGCGCGCCCCTCTCTCGTCCTCCGCAGGTATGCACCGCAAGTCTCTGGAGGCGGCTGAACAGCTGAAAGATGTCACAGAGGACGAGAACAGTAGCCAGAACGACAGTGGCGATGAACAGGCCCGCGTTCAGCCGCAGCCGCCACAGCCGCCCCAGCAGCCGCAGCAGCAGCAGCCGGGACAGCAGGCGGCTCAGCAGGGGCAGCAGTCTGTCCAGCAGCCGGCCCAGCCTCAGCAGGGCGCTCAGCAGCCGCAGCAGCTGGCGGCGATGCAGCAGGAGGGGTCCCAGCCGGAGGATTTCCGGAGCAGCAGCATCGCTGCGCTGCGAGCCCGCGCACAGGAGCACAGCGCCCGCATCCTGAACGACGCGGCCCAGATGACCTCTGCCATTCTGCAGCGGGGTGCTGCTGACAGCCAGCAGATGCAGCAGCGGCAGCAGCAGCAACAGCAGCAGCAGATGCACCAGCAGTCTCAGCCGCACCAGCAGCACCACCAGCAACACCAGCACCAGCCGCAGTCGCGGGCTGGTGACGTGTGCCTGTTCTAGAGAGTGACTTCCGGACATTGACCGGTGTAGACACACACACTCGCCGATAGGTGAGCTGACCTAAAGCGATGCTGGGGCCATACCGACCCGGACCGCTGGTCATAGCGAGACTGAGGTGCTGAGACCGAGGCAATCGGTACATTCCAGATCCACTAGATACGTAAGCGAGCAAGGGCCGTCCAAGGTGGTGACCTGAGCGACTGGCAAGGGAACGCTACTTGTAAATGGATTGCAGAGGCATATTGCAGAAAATGGGGGACCTTGAGTGCGAGCACTGACCGTTCGTAGATGTCCACAATAATGGTCATCACACCGCATTTATTGCTGACCATGATCAGAATTCTGACATCGGCGAGATGCCAGGTAAAGTCACGAAAACCGACTAATTTTCTGCTGAGTTTTCAGATCTCGGTAATGACTTGACCGATTAAGGTACACCTCGCCGAGACATGGTCGATGTGATGCTGCCTCGCTGTAAAATACGATTTAAAACCGCGACATTTTGTGAGCTTTAAGCAGGCTATTGCCATGGTAACTGGTCTGGGCTACCATCTAAAGGCCACCGCCTGCCACCCGCTGAAAGGGACACCGATTTGTGACTGGCTGACTGAAAATATTCCAGCCGTAGCCACCCGTTTAGCCGCGTACCTAGGAGCTAGATGTCCAGATGGGTGTGTCCGTACGTTGTGTGGTCGTATTGCCACAGCGGCGAGCTCTACAGAAGAGCGCGGGGTTCCTGGAGAGTCGGTGTAGCCGGCGCCACCGCCGCAGCAGGACGCTCCCAGGCACAGTGCGACCGCCATCGTTTGTGTGTGTGTCTGTACGCTCGCGAGGGTGTCTCAAACGTGTGATATGTGCGCCTGCACCGTGTCTCACCAAGCCGGCGGATGTTTCCCAGCTAACGGCATGGCGATGCGCTCGCCTGTGAGAACTATTATAGCTGGGCCGTGAATCCCTGCGGCCCTTGATAATGTATCGATTAACAGGTTGCACAATCTGAAGTGATAACCAAGGCAAAGGAAGTAATGTCAATTCTATAGTGTTTGCTCTGTTCTCTTCTTGCTAATGTGTGTATAAAAAAAGTAATTTGCTGGATTGCTTTTTGCCGGCTTTTGGCGTAATTTGAAGCGATTCGAAGGCAAAGTGTAATTGTGTAAAAGTGTTATTTCGTTTATTAAGTGTTTGCTGCATTTTTAGGCGGTCAAGACGGGAGCGTCTGAGATAATTCAAACGTTCGCTACTTTTATGTGTCCGACACCACTGATTCTGTTGTTGTGTAGGTACTTCGCATACCCGGCGCCTCTGCCATTTGGATGGTGCGGAGACAATGTGCGTCATTTTTAACACGTAGATCCTGCGATCGTAGCACCAAGCGAGCTTCGCACTGTCGGCTGACCTGTGGCACGATAAACCGCGAGATGTGTATGTGGCGGTGCCGTGTACAGCGCGTAACCCATCACTAACCGAACACTGGGCAGATGGGCAGGGTACTGAGGCCGGCGCGGCGAGGAGAGAGGCTGGGAGAATTTGCCGAGCAGGCGAGAGAAGTCCGCCACAGTGAGTGGCTAGCGGATATGATAAATGTTTTGTTCGTTGTTATTCAAATGGTTTCACCGTACTGTAGTGGCAATACATGTGTGAAGACTACCGACGCTTTGACTGCACACTTTCCCAGCTGATGGATCGAATGATAAACCAGAACCGCGGGCATGATCTGAAAATGGATGCGCTGGTATCACTGCTATCTTTTGCTATCCACCACGAATCCCCAGCCGCCCTCACGCGAACAACACTTCAAAACCGTACTGAGCCACATAGCAAAACACGATATGGCAACTCGAAATATATTCGGCATCAGCAGCCACATAAATCTAATATGAATGTACGACAACAAGATTATTACCACACTTCGCACAGCGATTTGGTCCCTGTTCATACCATGTCATCACACGTTAACTCGTGATGTGACACGCGCTTAAGGACGAGTAAATACTGACATAACGCACCGTTCAAGCACGACAGCAAAGCCTTTGCAGTTCCACTGATACAGCTGACAGGGACAACAGTGTGGCTAAAATGGGCGATTGAGGAAATGAAGGAATAGAGGACATACCTACGCTCACTGGCGTTTTTAAACACCATTAAAATATTAGATGACGAAACATGTTTCGAGCAACACAGGGAGGTGACACAGCATCGAGAGAAGGCCTTGATGAAGATGCAAGCATTGGAATGAAAAGGTTAAAACTTCCTAAAATCTAAAAGCTTCTAAGTTTTATTACTGACATTTTACATACCTACCTTTCACATATTAAAGATACATGTTACAAGATTCATTGGCTGTGAATTAAAAAAACCTATTAACCCTATTAGTGGCAGGCTCCTGGCTACCCCTATTAGTGGCAGGGGGGGGGGGGCTGTTTACGACCTCCCCTTGATATCTCGAGATCTAACGGGCCGATTTTCAAAATTCAAACGGCATTCGATTTCGCTCAACGTGATCTACATTTCTAAAAAAAAAATTAAAAAATGTCAATAGGGGGGGTAGAGGGGGGTAAAAACGGGCAAATTGCAGATACATTTTAGACTGTTTATCACGGCCAGGTTTCTGAACCAATCTTAACGCAACGTTTGCCGATCGATAGAGAATGAACCAGGAATTCACATGGATCCTAAAAATATGCATTTTCAAAAATCATAGGCGGATACAGATCATTGAGATTGGGGGTACACAAAAAGTATGGTAAATAAGGTTTTTGTTAGTACTGTTTCTAAAAGGGGTGGTAATGGTCTTGTTATGTTACAATTTTCTTATGAGAGAACGACTACAATTGTATTGGTCATGCATAGGCGGTGTCAGGGCACCTATGTTGGGAGGTAAAACATAACCCCCCTTTTTGGACGCCTGGATCCGCCTATTATAGCAAAAACGTGTCAAAAGAGGATGCACAATAACTGTATATGTTATCACATGATACCTTTCATTCACTGTTCGTAAAACTGGTGCAGCATCGTGATCTTCGCCCAAATGACTCGCTTCACGAATAGGACCCCCCAATTCCCAGTGCTCTGGAGCCGCCCCTGGTAAAGTTATGGACTTGAAATTTTAAGGGAATGTGCCCAATTTCGTTTTAGGAAAAGTCAGAAAATTTCAGCATCGTAGCTTCAGCGGTTTCGGAGATATTCCCGAAAAACCTGAGGGGTGGATAAAAACAACCCCCGCCACTAATAGGGTTAAATAAAGGTGTGGATTCTTTGTCAAAAAGTGATTTAATATTTCCATATATCTGCTACGTATTCGATTAACTCAACGATTCAGCCAAACATCTCTCCGTGTGTTATAACGAACGAGCGTCAAATAACGGTACCTACGCTATTGTTCCATTCGCGAGATTACATCGGCAATGGAAAAAGGAACTTATGCACTTAGTAAGGTTCAAAAACCTTCTGAATACTGAAACGACAGCACAAACAACTAAATAAACATGGGATTATGACGCTGTTATGCGAACATCCGACAAGTCGCTCTTCCTTTTTATATTACGTAGAGGCTACCAGAAATCGCCGACACCTGAGAGGCTCGCGGTCCGTTGATGATGGTGGTCCAAATGAACCAAACGTGAGTCCACAATGGACCCAAAGTGGACCTTGACAGAGTTGTAGCTGCCGTTAGTACGTAAATACGTACCCTGGTATCCGATGTAACTACACGGATATAGAGAATCATTGCACCAGTTCTGAACAGAACCGTCAAGGTGCACGATCAGCCACCAGTCAAGATAGGACTAGTACGAGACGAAGGATCGGATCGTTCGCTGGCCAGTGGAACGGATCGTCCGCTCACGGCCAGGGACCAGCCCGCCATCCTCTGATGACGCTGCCTCCTTCTGACACCGCCAGTGGCCCGCCTACAGGTGAGTGACCTCGTTATAATACCCCTTGCCGTCGCTGTCGCCCTTAGCGATCAGCACCTCGTCGTCCCCGCAGCTGCCGGGCGTCTCGGCGCGGCTGTCGCCGTTTGGTGTCGTCACGTCGTCCCCAAAGTCAAACTTGACGCGCGTGGAGCCCGGCGTATGGTTGAGGTCCGACTCTGTGTCCTGCCGGGCGAGCGGCGGCAGCGCCGGCGACTTGGTGACAGACGTGATGCCGGCCTGGCGCAGCATCTGGCGGAACTGGGAGTCGGCACGGTCGGCCAGCTCGGCAGGAGAACCCAGCTCGGCGATCTGAGGAGCAGCACCGTGAGACGGGTCAACTTTGCACCGAGATGAAGGAGTGGTCAGCATTATAAGGGATACACCATGCATTCAGACGTCTTTTGTGATGTAGTGTACACCACATCAGAGTCCCATACGCCACATAAATTTTCGTCCAGATGATAATTTAAAAAGTGATCTCTTCAACATATTGGACTCATCTTCTGCTCTCGCGTCCGCTCATTGAGTTACTCACTCTGCCGTCTTGCATGACCACGATCATGCCGTACTCGAGCACGGTGTTGAGCCGATGCGCAATCGTGATCACGGTCGAGTCGTGAAAGTCCTCGCGGATGGTGCGCTGGATAAAGAAGTCGGTCTGCACGTCCACCGAGGCGGTGGCCTCGTCCAGCAGCAGCACCCGCGCGTGGCGCAGCAGCGCTCGCGCCAGACACACCAGCTGCCGCTCACCGACGCTGAAGGTGTCCGCGTCCGGCGTGAGCGGCGTGGCCAGCTGCAGAGGCAGCTGGGAGACCTTGGAGCGCAGCCCGGAGCGCTCCAGGGCGCTCCACACCTGGGCGTCCGAGCTCTGGTCGAATGGGTCCAGGTTCTGGCTGCAGAGGCGGAGAGGACGGCGGTCGTTAGGACGCTCGGCAATCTGGTTATATATCACATCAACTGCGAGCCGCGGGGGTACATATGTGACGTTGGCAATTACAGCTAATGAACCAACTATAAGCCACTTCAGAGTAGATCACTAGTAACTTCAGCTGGGGAAACCACAACCAGATCAAACTGGGTATTCAAGTTTACGTAACTACCATCCAGCAAAAGAAACAAGGGTCTGCGAACAGCATGGTGGGATAAAGGGAATCAAATCAAAGAACATCATTAGCGATCAACACAATCATCTTCTAAGACATTGAGAAATATACGTTCAAAAAAATCCCATCATTCGGCCGAAACCGGATCTGTCGCAGGATCGATCGGCAACCATTAGCACTGGGCTCCCGGTACAGCGATGCGAACAAAAGGCCAGAATAATACCACAGACTCGTCATTTCTTTCGAACTCACCGAATGGTACCGGTGAAGAGCACCGGGTCCTGCGGGATGACGGCGATGTTGGAGCGCAGCTGGCGCAGGCCCACCTCTGAGATGTCCACCCCGTCGATCAGAACACGGCCCTCCTCCAGGTCCATGAGGCGCAGCAGGGTCGAGATCAGGGTCGACTTGCCTGAGGACAGTCAAGTATGTAAGAGGAACGTCTTTAATCTTCGAAGGCGCTTCTAAGGAAAACATTATCAAGTCACACGATGACATGACGCCCTCTTAGCATCCAACACTTCTTCACCCGCAGTCCCCAGCATCATGGAAGGACTTGAGACCGCAGCGGACCTGCGCCCGTTCCGTACAGCGACCACTGACCTGCACCCGTCCTGCCGACGATGCCGACCTTCTCCCCTGCCGGCACGTTCAGCGACAGGTCGTGCAGCACGCGCGGTAGGTCGGGCCGGTATCGCAGACTGACTCCCTCCAGACGGATGGCGCCTTGGGACGGCCAGCGGCCCTCGCGCTTCTCGTCACCGGGCATCTCGGCTGGTGGCTCGTAGTCAAGATCCTGGTAGAGCGCACAGCAACGGGGAGGGAGTGGAAAGGCTGCGGTCAGCAAGAGACAAGCCGTGAGAGGTGTGGGATGAGATTTTCATCGCATTTGGCGTTTAAGTTAGCTCGGAACAGATGAGAGAATGGACACGGGAACACGGTTTGCTCCTATGACTTGTTCCCAGAAACATTTCCTCCAATAAATATACGAAAAAGCTACGCTAGATACCTAGTCTGAAAAATAGCCTTCTCACGCGACGTTAATCAGAAACGCAAAGCGATCATTACTGTTTAACTGAGTTCGCACTAATAGACGGCTTGGCGTCGAAGTTTCGCGAGGCACAATTATATACCGTTATGGAACTTTCCCACAATTGCTTCACAAGATAAGACTGTAAATGTAGGCTTGACTATCATTCGTATGCCGTCCCCGGTCAAAGAATTACCCGGCAGTATCTCATACTTGCAAGACATTTTTTTACTCCTGCCGCTCACTCACCTGACAGTACTCGGTGCAGCGATCAACAGCAGACAGGAAGGCGGCCAGCTCCGAGCACATCATCACCAGGAAAGGCATGATGAGGATGGTATCGTACACCAGACTGAGGATGAGGCCGGCCTCGGCGGCCGAGGCGCCCGGCACCAGAAGCACCACCGAACCAATCACAGCCAGCATGGCCACGCCAAGCTCATCGGCGCGCAGCGTGAACCACGAGTTGGACATGCGGAACGTCATGAGGGAGGACGAGTGTCGGTCTAGCAGGCCGACAAACCTGGGGGACGGAGATGACAGGGGTTAGGGTTAGGGCGAACAATTGTTTACGCAGGATAACATTGGAAAAGTGCTGTTGCCTGTTGCCATATTTGAAATGCATTTAGTAATTTCCTAGGGAACACGCTCAGCATATGAAGAAATTAAGCAATCTGACCCGTACAGTAAGCTAGCAAAGCAAGTGACAAACATAACACATCTTCAGTTAGATGGGTTCGAGCTTCTGCCTTCTAATCAGAAACTTAGGTAAACGCATGCCTATCACAATAACCGTCTTTGCTGATCAATCTCTGCAACCCCTTTAATCGAGGCTCGCCGTTTAACGTCAGAGGTTGAACGTATCAACTTTCTCACCTCTCAATCATCATGTTCTCTTTTCCGTAGGCGCGGATGACAGCCAGTCCTCCAACAGTGGAGCTCAGATGGTGCAGCAGAGGGGAGCGGGCCACGTTCTCGACCTGTTTGGTACTTCTGACTCCGGCCACCAGACTGCGCCACATGACGGCGTACAACACTGGCGGGACACAGAGGGCGGCGCTGTCTGTAGTGTGGCTGTGTGTCTGTGGTTCGGAGGCGCAGGGCCTCCATGTCTTTGTCTCTATATTAACCCGCGCCGGGCCGGTGCTCTGAGATTCCGCGCCGGGCCGGGGGGGGTGTCTGAACACCCCCCCTTCTAACTCGGCTCCTGGGCCACGTAGCGACACGCGGTAAGCGGCAATCGAAAGAACGTCCAAAATAAGGACGAAAACACTTCGGTCATTTTTTGGGTCAGGTCAAAGGTCAGGTCACCAGAGGTCACCAAAGGTCAAATGTCCACTATTTAACATTTTGGAAACTGCCAACGGCTATCTCGGGAACCGATAGAGCTACAGCGCCGCGGAAAACGCATTCGATAGCCCTTTTACAGACCTTTCTGAGTAATGTTCTCAGATTTGACCTCAGGTCAACGGTTTAGCCTCCATGGGGCAAAAACTCCAAAAATAGTCGTTTTTACGAAAAACGTTTTTTCGGCAATAACTTTTGACTCAAAAGAGTCATGACATTACTTTTGCCACCATCGTGTTTTTCTCGTCGAGACGCATCGAATGAACTATAATTTGACCTTGAAAAGTCAACTTGAAAATATGACCTCAGGTCAAGGTCATGACCTGACCGGAAAAGGTCATGTTGCATATCAGTCGATCCGCAACGTCGAGCCGAACACATCTAAGGCGTTTTCAGCGCTCTAGCACGTCTCTACCAGAAGTTATTAGCGAAAAACTGTTAGATTCTGTTCGTGACCTGAGATGACCTCGGGGACATAACGAGGGGTCACAGTTGCCATTTTCCGGTTCAGTGTGTCCATTTTACCTACATCTCTCGATGTTTGAGAGTGTCTAGAATAACGTTCGTGCAAAACAGACGCTTTTCAATTTTCTCCCATTGACTTATAATGGAGAGGTCGCAAAATTGACCTGACCTTAGGTCACCGATATCAAAATTCCGAGATATACATTTTATAGATATTGTTGCTCTAATCAATCGCTGAAAGTTTCAAGGCAATCGATCAATCGGTGTAGCTATGACGAGCATTCTTATTTTTTCTGAGGTGAGGTCACTTGGCGTGACCTGGTGACCTGACCTAAGGTGACCTGGGTCTGAAATTTTCACAACATGTGCGGAAAAGATGCACGAACAGGCGTGCCAAAAACGGCGGCGCTCCGCGCCGCCGTTTTTGAGATATCTGCGAAAAACCACAAGGGGGGTGTTCAAACACCCCCCCCCCGGCCCGGCGCGGGTTAAACGGTCGTTAGTTTCGTACCCACTGTGGGAAAATTAATTCTTGTTGTATAAAGTGGTTGATGTTAATTAAAACTTGGCAAACAAATTTGTAGGTATTGTTCCTTACCTGAGGAACATTTTTTTCCCACCTAATAAGACATATTTCTCGGAATTAGCAGCACCAATCGTCAATGTTTTAACATAAATGCCTATAACGATTATATTTTTTAAGATTGGAACGCAATCGATCTGCTATATGTGTATCACAAGATTGACATGAGCTTCTTACCGAATATGACTCCAACGATGAGAGCGAAGTAGGGATAGGCAATCATCGGCACCATCAACTGCGTTAGCACGATCAGAAACCGCTGACCGATGAACTCGAAAAACTCGGGGATACGATTGTCCACTGAAAAAAATACAGTGTAGGTAAGCTAATAAGCGCTGTTCACGAAAAACGATGACATGCCTACTATCTACAGGTAACAAAATTAGACATTCATTGATCTATCACACAAACTTCTCTCTATAGAACATAAAAGAGGTATTCGCTTATCAGCATTCCTCTGCCTCTATTTCAAATTGTAATAGGTGTGCCACGTGGATTATGACCAATTGTTTATGCGTCACTTAATAAAACTCGCACATATGTATTCTCACAACGCACCCATACAATCGGTAACTAACAAATAATGCCTCTCTGTAAACGAATAAAATGAGCATGTAAAATACCCGAATCATCATTATCTAATAGTAATGTTAAGTGTGTAAGGTACAGTCCACAGCAGAAGTAATGTGTGGTTTCAGTCATGGGTATGTTCTGCTTCTGAAGCCTAGGAACGATTAGCCAGACTGCAACGAGACTTTAAATGCAGCTTACACGTATCTTCACCCTTGCAGCTACAACTTTATCTATTGACGTCTTCTTTTCAATCAGTCCGCATTTAAAAATCGTCGGTCAAGGCCATCCGTTGAGATTGGTAAAACCACACATTACTTTAGCGGTGGGCTGTACAATCTATATTTAAATTTGCCGTAACAGGGGGAATCACCAGTTTTTACGACATCATACCTAACCTACGATCACCCTCTTCAAGCCATCGTTCCCGAATGCCCTGACTTGGTCCCGACTATCTACAAATTACTGTTATGATTGCCACGCGCAATGTTGCCGTACCGGTGTCCATGTCCTTGGAGAGGCGGTTGATGATGCGGCCCGACGGGGTGCTGTCGAAGAACGACATCTTGCAGCGCACCAGGCTGTCAATCATCTTGTTGTGTAGGCGCCTGGCCCCACGCACCACACACACGTTGTGAAGCACCGCTGTCCGATGGATAAGGTCGGCTTAGGTCAGCAAGGATCACAGCTTGTAGGTTATTATCGAGGATGGTTGAGTTCAATATTGAACACACGAACGGAGCAAAATCAAATTAATAACGCGGTTTAACAAAAGAACAGAAGTCAGGTCACTGATTGGATTTATGAACGAGAAGCCGTATCTATAGATATATGGCATTCTTTTCATGCAACCTTAGTTCTTCACTGCATAGTCGAATATCTGAACAATTAATTTCGAAATTTCTAATAATATCGTGCCACAAAACGCCCCGCGCCATATCAAAGCAAAGACATGAAAGCTATTGCGAGAGTTGGTTTATTTGTCATCAGGTACAACAGAGATGCATAGAGATACAGTACAGAAAATGTATAGAGAAATGCATAACAAATAGAAAACTTCATGTAAAAACTATAGCCTCAAAAGAAGCAAATGAATAAGCAAATAAGCAATGTCTGAACAAAAAAAAAAAACTACAAAGTAAACGATCTATATTAAATGCTGAGCTGTTCGGCTGCAATGCCAGCTTTCATCACCATGGCCAACCACTAATCTTCACCCCTTTCGTCAACGTAACGCATCGCCCCCGGGGACACCGTCTCTGCCGTGACCTTCTACTCCTGCTGCTTTGACTTCTGCCGCTGCCGCCTTGACTTTTGCTTCTGTCGCTTGGATTTGGACCGATGCTGCTTAGAGCCTTTGCGTTTCTGCTGCTTTGCCTTCTTGCAGGCCTTCTGCTGTTCCTTCAGCAGTTTCTTCAGCTTCTGCAGCTCCAGCTTCCCACTTCGAAGAGATTTCCGGCTCGACCGAACCTCACTGCAAGGATTGCCCTCGCCTCCTTTGACGGTCAGCCCAGCCTTTTGTTTCTTCTTCAGCTGTCGACACGCCTTTCGCTGCCCCTTCAGCGTTTTCATAGATACCTTCCTTTGCTCCATTTGATTTCGTAGGCTCTTGCGGGTCTGCCGAACCACTCGGCACACCGCCATGGGATCACTCTGACCAGCTCTGCCGTTAGTCGACGACTGCTTGGGACGCTGGCTACCCTCTCTGCCGTCACCCAGAGGCTGCTCGGCACTAGCCATTACGGGGCGCCTGTCGACGCACAGCCAGGCCACGGTCACAGGCTCGTCCTTGTAATGGTTCCCCTCGAGGTACTTGACTGTAGTCTCCAGCGGCTCGCACTGACGGTTGGTGCCGCAGACCTTTCGTTTGCCACCGTGCGCCACTGTCATGTTGAACCGGTCCGTTCCGCTCCCTATCGTGATCGTCCTCTCCTGATAGGGACAAATGGCCCGCTCCGCCACCGAGTCGCCGAGCGAGGGACGAGACAGCGTGCAGGTCAGAAGCACGAGTGTGAGGCCGGCGCTCAGCCGAGTCATGGCGACTGACGACTGACGAATGGCGACTAACGATTGACGGCAGACGGCTCACGACTGACTGTTCGTCCCGGGTCACAGTCCTCGCAGAGAAGAGAGCTGTAGAACCTCGAGCCAACCAGGCAAGCTTATGAATGAACTTAAGCAGACGCGTGCTAGTTATATTCAGGCGAGGTGATAAGACAAACACCTGAAGGTGCTAAACGGGGAACAACTTGCGCGCGTGTGTGATAACGGTGAATCAAAACCTCCGCAGGGCCAAAGGGCAGGCAGTGCCGTCCCCGGGCTCTTATCAATTCTGATAGCGGTGCTACTTCCTGTCGCGAGCCGGTCTCGATTGTCCGGGTATTCACGGGAGGGCGCCGGATGCGAGTTTACGGCAGGTCGTCACCACATCACCGTTGCATCTATACCGGTACATCCCGACACAACACCAGAGATTGTGCAGTGATACCACGTCATTCATTTAAAGCTAAGTGCTTCCATTAAAAGGGCATTCTTTTCATGCTGTTATACCGTGAGCATAATATGATTGTAGCCATGGTGACGCCTCCTTTCCGAACTCGTTGCTCATCAGGGCCTAGTACAGCATGTCAGTGAATACGAAACTTATATGATCTATCTTTGTAGCAGCTATACTCTAAAATTATGTTAAATTTGCAATTATGTAAAATAGTACAGATTTGATGAAAAGGTGATACCATTCACGATGCCTTGTCCATGCGTTGTTAGAACCCTCTCGCCCAAGGGTACTACCTCGTCGCTCTTACTTCGGATCAGACCGATGAGGATCAGCAGAAGGGTGACTCCCGCGTATCCGAGGATGTAGTAGTCCACATGGGGACTGTCGTTGATGGCCCCAGCCAGCTCGCCCGGGTCGTAGGTGACGTTGTACAGCGTCATGTTCTTGATTCGCTCCTCCTGTGGACACAGGGAGGGGCAGTCATGGTGGGATAGACCGACACAATTCGTAACAGAGCAAAAACAAAGACAGATATATTCTATTTGTGAAAACATAATAATAACTATGGTTATCCACGCGCAGTTAAACATTTAAGTGGTCGCTGCTTCAAACGTATCATCATGGATATTTAATTATATCATAATTCTAGGGAGCACCTATTCATCAGCTGTCTAGTCCCCCAGCGTAGGCACCACACTCCCTGCCAACCCATAAAGAGAAACAATGAGACCATGGTGAAAGGTCTTACCATTAGTCCGTCTCCGGCGTCGATCCAGTACTGCAGGTAGACGGCGCTACCAGTTCGACACGAGCCGTACATGAGCAGCAGGAGCGAGAGCAGCACCATCCCGCACAGACCGCACAGCTGCCGGAGTCAGAGAGGGAGAAGGTCAGTGGGGGTGACACAGGGAGGGACGCAGCGAGAAAACTCAAATGGTGCAAACGAGCCAAAATGAAAGAAAGAATGTTGACGCCGGACATAGGACTCGATGGTAATTACAGTAGCATATATCTGTATCATATTACGTGACGCTTTCCAGACCTGTTTTGTCATGCAAAATATTCCGAGGTGTCATACTATATTTTCCGTATCATTTATATGACAAGCGAACATTTATAAATTGATATTTATTGAACATGGGACTAGCTCCAATCGTTTATAAAGTTTAGACTTGCCTTGTAGAACATGAAGAAGTTCTTGAAGATTCCAGCAGTCGATATGAAGGTCTCCTCGGAAGTAAACTTGCCACCAGTACCACCAGTGTCTGAAATAACATTGAATTATTATGATTTTTTAGTTACAGTCCGAGAGGTGTTTTGCTGTTTTGTAGCCGATGGAGAGTTTTATGGCATGTATGTGGTACACCTCAATGTGCTCACAAAACACGTAAACACAAGACAACTAAGCCTGTGGTATACCTTCAGGGGCTGCAACTTCTTGCGCCTTCTTGTCCGTCTCTGGTTTCTTCTGGTGCTCCTGCTGCTGGCTGGCGGCGTCGCAGCTGACCAGCTGGTAGTAGCCGCCCTGCAGCTCCATCAGCTGATCGTGGGTGCCGCGCTCGGCCAGCTTGCAGTCTCGCATGTACACCACCTCATCGCAGTGCGACAGATACTGAGGAGAAAGGAACCGACGTCAGCAAATGCCTCAACTTCTGCAAACTCCACCACATCCTTCTGCAGGCCACTCTCCCTCCATCTCTGGATGGAGAGACCCCCTGATCGAGAGACCTCCTCACCTGAACACCGTGCGAGACGAGCACCACGGTCTTGTCCTTGAGCTCGCCGCAGACGCACTGCTGGAAGATGTGCTGTCCGACCTTGGTATCGACAGCACTTAGCGGGTCGTCCAGAAGGTAGATGTCGGCATCGGAGTACACGGCGCGCGCCAGGTTCACGCGCTGCTTCTGGCCACCACTTCGCGCCATATAGGCGGAGGAGAAAGATGAAAAGGGAGGTAAATCACATGGGAAGCGACACAGAAATAGGCAGCGTTTAACCAGTGCTCACAAGTGTCTCCAACACTATGCACGCGGTCAGTTGAGTTGCATTTGCAAGGGCTCAGTGACTACCCACTCCTGTTCTTGATCCCGGAAACAAAAGCCGAGACTGCCGTCAAAGCCACAGCCCTAGCCTAGAATTGTTAGGTTGACAAGCAATGAGGCTTCCCTCAAACCCTGCCCGTCAGTATCTCTTCCCGAATGCTGACCTGAGGTTGACGCCTCGCTCGCCGATCTCGGAGAGGTCGCCGTTCTCCATGAGGTCGAGGTCGGACTGCAGGGCACACACAGTCACCGTGCGCCAGTACCGATCGGCCACGAACGGCCGGCCGAACACGATGTTCTCTCGCACGGTACCGTTGAAGATCCAGGCTCGCTGCGGTACCACGGCCAGGGAACCGGCACGACGCACCGAGCCGCACAGCACTTGCAGCTGCGGGACGAAAGGACAGGGTTCAGTCAGTGGGTAACGACTTAGTACCACCTCTGTACCACTTTATATGAAACAGAAGCCATGTGCACGACGCTATCAAGCACATCGCGTCACTGTTGTACAGCACCAGCACTCGAAGCATCACTAACCACAAAAATGAGAAATATTTGTTCCCACCTGTCCGGTGATGGCGGCGACGAGGGACGACTTGCCGCTGCCGACGGCGCCGGCCACGCCGAGCAGGCGGCCGCGCGGCACCGTCAGCTGCACATCGGTCAGCACCACGTTGATGACGGTGGCTGCCTCGGCGTCCAGCGCTTTGTCCGCGTCCCGGGCGTGACGTCGGGAGCTCAGAGATCGCAGACGGTTCGTCACCGGGATGGAAGGCAGTTGTGGCGCCGACATGTCCCGCGAGAGTGACTTGGACGACTGTTCACGTTCTGTTGGTGGAAGTTGTTAGAAACATCAGGTAGCTGCATGGATCTGACGGATCTTTACATGACGTCATTAAATTCTCTTACACATCTTCCGGTGTAATGTTCTGGCACCAGAAATAGCATTTACTTGGCATGAGAAGCCATTCGCTTTGCAACTTTCAAGTCGCTTCGGCTCAGAGATAAGTCGATCTCCACACTTTTAGCAATACCCAACTGGGCTGATCACTTACTAGGCTTATCGCTTTTCTCCTTTTCCAGCACTGGCTTCTCCCAGGCCAGGGTGGCTTTCTCAATCTCGATGGCACTGCCAGAGTCGCAGTGCGCCGTGACCATGTCGACGTCCTTCATCAGCAACATACGCTACCGAGAACAGAGGGAGGGAGGTTAGGGACCAAATCTTCACGAGGAGACCCATGACACATCTGACACGAAGCAACTTTCTTCAGAAGGCTGGCTGAAAGCAGCACGCTCACCTGAATCCGCCGGAGCACCACGTGGGTCTCCGTCAGCATGCGGATGCCGTAGGGCAAGGTGCCGATGGCCATCTGTAGGCCGTTAAAGACGGAGAACATGGTGAAGGCTTCGGCAGCATTGAGCTCGTTACCGCTTAGACTGTAACGAAAACGGGACAGTACAGTGGATCTAGTAAGGATCTCCAGACGCAACTAGATGGCGTTGAGCCTCAGTCGAGTCCATGTGAGATTCAGGGAGAGGTCACTACCGAGCTGGGCCCGATGGGGAGGTGGGCGGGGGGGGGACGGGTGGCGAGGTCACGGTGCGGGTGACCTGTCAAACAGCCCCGGCGCGGTGGGGCACTGCCGCAGGCAAATGGCGCACTCCAGCGTTGTTCCATATCGCGGTGGTGGGCCGGGCGGCCGGTTAGCTTGGCAGTTGGCTGCCTGGAAGGAAAGGATAATGAGGCATGGGTTTGCTGTGGCCGGCTCGTCTACTGTCAACCATGGTGAACCCAGAGTGATGCAAATGTGATGTTGGTAATGCAGCTGGCAATGGAATGCTAGCGAATGCTCCGGGCGCCCAGTAGCTATAAGGATGAAGATTATTTATGTCTCCTGAAATTTTCATTGAATGACATGACATGACAAAGTCTCCGCTAAGCTGAGCTTGTTGCGTTGACCCTGCTCTCTACCCTCCGATCAGGCAATTCCTGGTCTATGACAGAATTTAGAGTCCAAATTTTAACGTGCGCACATAGCCGCGCACGGCCGGTCCCCTCACTGACTTCACCTGGCAGCGGCCTGCCACCAACCACAATCATACCCGTCAGGAGCCGCTCAAAAACGTCAAGCACACGTCGCGTTTCGAACCCGGACTTTTGCAACCGGGACGTGCGCTCTCACCTCATGGCACATGAAGTCCAACGCTCTACCGACCGAGCTACCGGGACGGACGTTTACAATGGGGTTTCGCTCGTGACATTGACAGCCGTCAGACACTTTTGCCGAACTTTAGCCGAAACACTGAACAAGCTGCGCAGGGCGATAGGTGCTCGTAGCGTTGAGGTTGGGTAACCTGTGAGCTGAATGCGATGTCGTGAGTTCGAGCCCCACTCCCGGGGCTGGTTTTATCTAGACACGAACCAAAACCTTTCCTTCTACTGCAACACAGATAAGCACGATGACATCTTTCCCCAATATCCTCTCCAAAAGTCAAAATTATCGCTTATAAATGTTAAGCTAAGTTTTATCTTTTAAGAAAATGTTTTTGGTCATTTGTCTGGAGCCATTTAAACTCTTTTTTTCTTTTCTGCTTTTTTCGACCCGATAAAACCCACCAAAACTGAACGTGCCAAATGAAAAATATCTAACTCAAATAACAGTTTAGAAAAGCCTCATCATGCATCATGAAAAGCATCATGCAACTATCGACTGAATAGTTGCATGCTTTGAATGCGTCCTAGATTTCAATTATCATTGTTCAACATTTCGGCTGGAACTGACGCTGCCTCTGGCTTGCCCGTTTGTTTGAGATAATGATTCCCTTCAGTCGCATTCTTGCCGGTTCCACATGAACAGGATACCACCATACCGGAGTGAACGCACCCACAACCATCATCCCCTCCCCTCAGCCTCGGCGCAGTGACGGGCGGCCCTGGGCAGCCCACTCCCGGCGCTACGCACGCCCCATGCGCCGTGATACCGCGTCACTCCCCCTCCCTCCTTCCCCCACAATGATCGGTGACCTCACTTCCCTCGGGATTTGGACTCGCCCTACCCCGACCGTAGCGCCACGTGGTGGCTTTGGAGATCTTAAATAGACCCACTGTACATGATTTGATTCGAATCATCCAAGAGAAATGACGCGCATCAGTCCATGTATCTGATGTTGCTTCACGACAAATTGATGGCATATACTATCGTTACATGTCACATTGTCGACTCACATGTATCCGATGACCGATGTCGCGGTGGCCAGTACCGGTATGATGGGAACCAGCACGTTAGAGATGGACTGCAGAAAAGTGGTCTTTCGGATTATCCTCATCTCCTCATTTCGAATCTTGTCGATCTGAAAAAAAGCATTAGATTTTATTCCGTCTACCATGTAACATGCGGACTTAATTTTGCAGCTAAATGATAAGAACAACACATTCGTTGATATTTTCAGCTATGAGGCTTAACTGCCTGTTTTACGTTTAATTAAAGGCGTCAGAAAGAAAACGTACCCCAGGCACCATCAAAAGCACCTTTTTACCTCACCAAGTGCAAGTAAAACCTGATTACCTGCGCTTTGAACCTGTCCTCCCAGGCGTAAGTCTTGATGAGTCGTATGGCGGCCAGGATCTCTGACATGAAGGTCACACGTTTGTCCGTCACCTTCACCACTTCCATGCGCAGAACGCTGTTGGCGCCGCCGATACTGCCCTGTAAGCAGGCGAGACGGCTTCTTGTTACCTACCTGGCTACCAGTCACATATTTTTGCTTACCTATCTCTGCCAGGCGTACGGGCAGCTTTGATTGAAATTATTTAGTGCGTACGAGGCAGATTGGCAGTTCCATTATGATTATAATGACATGAGAAAGACGTCATATACCAACAACCTGATATATAATCTTTCGGAAGCGTCATATTTAGTTGCATATATGTCAAAAGGCTGTACACTGTAAACTCTTTTCAACAAACGTTTGTTACTTTTACAAGGAAAATTATTTAGCGCAAATCCCCGCACCCTTTGCCATGTCATCGAACGACCCTATTGTTTGTCATGGTAGTTTTTCTTACAACCCACTCACATGTAGTTCGTTAGACTAGCTACCAAAGTTTGCTTTGTCATTGTTGTGTGAACGACTGTTTTCCTAGTTATAATCATGCGGCTACCAGGTAAAGACCTGCGCATGTTTGCATTTAACAGGGCTGAGCCGTGTACTTGTTAAGTCAAATCAATGCAAATCTTAGTTAGCATAGTAATGTCTACGTGCAGCAAACCTGTACTTGTAAGCAATCTACTAGTCTCAGGTTTGTAACGTTTTACAAAGACCTCCCTTGTATTCGTCAGTTTTCTCCACAAATCGCAGGTCGCCGCTCTGCAGTCTCATTATTACAGCAAAACAGCATTACTGAAAGTAGGTCATGTATTTAAAATGGTACATACACATTACACACACAATGGTGATAACACTCATGACCCAAGGGGCAAAGGCAATAACTCATGCGAAAAAGCAATGAGCGTCATCACTTACCGAGTACACTGTACCCATTCAAATCTAAGGGGCATTCAAATTCATTAGCCCCTTGGAATTCAGGTGCTTTTTCATTTTTAGAATTCTTGAGTTTCTGCAGTTTGCTGTCTTCAGTGTAGCGACCCTTGCTTGCAAGCTGGAGCTTTCGCTCCTGATGAAAGCCTGAAAGAAAGCATCGCTATATTATAACATATGCAGAACAATATGACCTGGAGCAGAACACATTGTGCTTGCTTCCATACATCACGCACTTATTTAGCAAATTTCTCTGATTCAATCTGCATTACTATCAGTTGAATGACATACATTTCATTAAAAAATGACAAAAACGACCGAACACTGTTATCACCTACCATTTTCACGGAAGTGCGCAGGAGGCCACATCACTGCACGGCGGTTGGCACGCAACTGAAACTTTCAAAATGAAACGGCCGGAAACGTTTTTGGCGCCACCTATATAACAAGTAACAGCTTTGTATATGCTACTACTAACACGTCTAACTAGCGTAACTAAGTCCGTGTTGCAAAGGTGTAGCTGATACCTTTGACAAGGACATAGATTACATAAGTATGCATCAGTATTGTTGCAATGGTGTAGCTAGTTCTTTCGACAAGGATATAAATTACAAATCATAAGCAAATCTATGTTCCATATTACGAATAAGACCCTGGTAGTTTTCACAATAGCCTCCATAATCCTCGTCAATTTTATGAATGGTCGACTGGGTGCTAGGGCTGATACTAATATTTGCCCTGTTGATTCAACCAACTATGACAAGATATTCGTCGTTCGACATAACCTTTATTAGTATTTTTGACAAACGCTCGTCGTTGTACGACAACCCCTTGTCAAAATGAGTTTACAGTGTAATAAAGGTTATGTCGAACGACGAATATCTTGTCATAGTTGGTTGAATCAACAGGGCAAATATTAGTATCAGCCCTAGCACCCAGTCGACCATTCATAAAATTGACGAGGATTATGGAGGCTATTGTGAAAACTACCAGGGTCTTATTCGTAATATGGAACATAGATTTGCTTATGATTTGTAATTTATATCCTTGTCGAAAGAACTAGCTACACCATTGCAACAATACTGATGCATACTTATGTAATCTATGTCCTTGTCAAAGGTATCAGCTACACCTTTGCAACACGGACTTAGTTACGCTAGTTAGACGTGTTAGTAGTAGCATATACAAAGCTGTTACTTGTTATATAGGTGGCGCCAAAAACGTTTCCGGCCGTTTCATTTTGAAAGTTTCAGTTGCGTGCCAACCGCCGTGCAGTGATGTGGCCTCCTGCGCACTTCCGTGAAAATGGTAGGTGATAACAGTGTTCGGTCGTTTTTGTCATTTTTTAATGAAATGTATGTCATTCAACTGATAGTAATGCAGATTGAATCAGAGAAATTTGCTAAATAAGTGCGTGATGTATGGAAGCAAGCACAATGTGTTCTGCTCCAGGTCATATTGTTCTGCATATGTTATAATATAGCGATGCTTTCTTTCAGGCTTTCATCAGGAGCGAAAGCTCCAGCTTGCAAGCAAGGGTCGCTACACTGAAGACAGCAAACTGCAGAAACTCAATAATTCTAAAAATGAAAAAGCACCTGAATTCCAAGGGGCTAATGAATTTGAATGCCCCTTAGATTTGAATGGGTACAGTGTACTCGGTAAGTGATGACGCTCATTGCTTTTTCGCATGAGTTATTGCCTTTGCCCCTTGGGTCATGAGTGTTATCACCATTGTGTGTGTAATGTGTATGTACCATTTTAAATACATGACCTACTTTCAGTAATGCTGTTTTGCTGTAATAATGAGACTGCAGAGCGGCGACCTGCGATTTGTGGAGAAAACTGACGAATACAAGGGAGGTCTTTGTAAAACGTTACAAACCTGAGACTAGTAGATTGCTTACAAGTACAGGTTTGCTGCACGTAGACATTACTATGCTAACTAAGATTTGCATTGATTTGACTTAACAAGTACACGGCTCAGCCCTGTTAAATGCAAACATGCGCAGGTCTTTACCTGGTAGCCGCATGATTATAACTAGGAAAACAGTCGTTCACACAACAATGACAAAGCAAACTTTGGTAGCTAGTCTAACGAACTACATGTGAGTGGGTTGTAAGAAAAACTACCATGACAAACAATAGGGTCGTTCGATGACATGGCAAAGGGTGCGGGGATTTGCGCTAAATAATTTTCCTTGTAAAAGTAACAAACGTTTGTTGAAATGAGTTTACAGCGTAGTATTTTTGACAAACGCTCGTCGTTGTACGACAACCCCTTGTCAAAATGAGTTTACAGTGTAAGTAAATGAAAAGGCTTCTAGCTCGACCACGGACTACAGCTAACGCAAGTTTCCTTGGGAATGTTTGTAAACCTATCAAATCGCGAGTGATAAAAGCCATATGTGTAAAACCTTGCGCACGACAAGGGAAAATACCAAATTCTAAGAAAACGATTCAGATTTACATACAAATATGAATGCAAATCGTAAAAATTACGGTAACATGCAGAGAATGTCAGGTTATGACAGGTGAACACGATTCATCGCGGTAATTTTCCGACGTCCAATGAGCGTTGATTTATGTACTCTGAGTCATCGTCAGAACCAACGCAGCCTTATCATGACGGGCATCACGAGGACATCACGAGGTGGTGAGTATCGATGCTGACACACCCAGACGTAAAAGATCACCCCTGACAAACCCATCTTGCCAACAACCGTACTTTGTAGTTGACTGTGCCATCAAACTGAAAGATATTTTTTGACAAGGAGGAACACTGTCTACCGGTTTAAGCAGATCATTCGTTCATTCATTCATTCATTCTCATTCATTCATTCATTCATTCATTCATTCATTCATTCATTCATTCATTCATTCATTCATTCATTCATTCATTCATTCATTCATTCATTCATTCATTCATTCATTCATTCATTCATTCATTCATTCATTCATTCATTCATTCATTCATTCATTCATTCATTCATTCATTCATTCATTCATTCACTTATTTATTCATTCATTCATTCGTTGTATAAACTTTCAACCATCGTCCGCGGTACTCACCAGAATGAAAAACGATCCAATGACCATGCTAAATCCCAGCAGAGACCATGGCCCAACATACAGCAGATTCACCACAAAACCATATCCGGTCATGAAGAAGGCAGCTGAAACGAAACTCTGCTTCAGACAGTGTCGGGCGAACACATCTACCAAACACAAAACATTATAACTAGTATCATGAATACTGTGGAAAGTTGTCAACGAACGACCAAACAAACGTCAGCACCATTTAGTCGAAACAGGGTCTACTTCGATTGGCCAACCACATTAAGTTTTATTGGTAACACGTCCTTCACAAACATCGGATGACTGCGAGCTCACAGATGACGAAGGCGAAGATGCGAAATCCCTCAATGACGCGCTCCATATCATTGGTGCAGATGTTGACGACTTTGCCTAGGATCTGTTCAGAGGCTGAGCCCAGCCGCAGTACCTTGTGGTACACCATCAGCTGGAGAGCCCCGGACGCACGAGCACCTGGGGAAGACGTTACACGATACACAATAAACACACACACAAGGCAATTACACAGTTTTATGTACTTAGTACAAAACGAGTACAATATGCAAGTAAGAATCATCAGTGAGAGGGAAGTAATAATTGAAACGGGATTTTTAGTTAATGCACGAGCGACAAACCGCGCCGTTTGACCCTGATGCAACAAACTCCGAGTGGTGTCACATATACCCGCCGCACTACTCACCAGTGAAGACGCAGGTAACTCCGAAAGCAGCTGACATGAAGTAGACGGAGAATATGCGAGCCACGGCCATGGCGACCACAAGAAGGATGGCTTTTTCGACGGGCTCAGAGCCCGAGTTGAGGTACAGCATCACCTGACGAAGCAGGATCGACTGGGGGAGGGGGGGGGAGATTGTCATCAGTGTGTTGGGGGGGGGGGGGGGCAGGGGAGGTCGTCGGACTGTTTGGGTATCTGGCGATAGGATAGGGTGGTATATCAGCGGACTGACATTGGAAGTAGGGCTAGAGAGCAACATAACATTAGTGGATTGACGATAGTGATAGCGACTATGGAATTACCGACTAGGTGAGCATTTTATATAGCTTCAGGTTTTGAGACTGCTTGTGACTTTCAAACGGCTTTTACACAAACGCAGAAAATCGTTATTGTAATATCGGTTCCAAACTTCTATGTATTGTTTCATTTTATTAGCAGCACACTGCCGAAATCCATCAGCTGTAGTTAACACCAGGTTAAACATGTTGGCTTGCCATTACTCGCTCGAACTTCGCGGAAGGGCAAAAATTCACGGTTGTGGCTAGCTTGATCGAACAAGAAGAATTGCCACACCTAATACCAGCCAATACCGCATTCTCATGACGAACGACCTCACGAATCACGATCACTTTCGTTTGTCGCCTGCCAGCCTACGTCACCCGTCCCTGTAGTTTCGTCCCCGGGTCTTTCTTCTCCGCGCTGTCGTTCGTGTGGGACAGCCCGGCCGGCAGTCCTTCTCCCAACTGTAGCTCCCCTGTGGCTGCCTCCCTCATCAGGTTGAATATGACGCTATGCAGAGCTCTCTCCAGCAGCAGCGGCTGCTCGCCCGTTCTCGGACGGCGGAAGCGGCGCTGCGGCACCCCTTCAGTCGGCTCTGCCAGCTGCACGGCCGCAGGCACCGCCTCCTTCCGCAGCCTCTTCAGCGCGCTCTGCAGCTCGCAGTCCCGCAGCAGTTGCCACAGCAGGGAGGACAGCAGCCGGCGCAGACATGTCAGCTCGTCGGCAGATGGACGCGCCGCCGCTGCGGCGTCTGTGTCCGCGTCCTCAGCTCCACCAGTGGTGACCCCGTCTGTATCAGCGGGGATGTCGGGAGAATCGGAGGAGGGGTCTGGAGCGGGGGCGGACATGAGCGGCACAAAGACCCGCTCGCGCCAGGCGGGCTCGGCGCCCAGCGGAGTGTCGTCAGCATGACAGACGAGCGCGGACAGTGAGAGCGTCGTGTAGATGACTGCCGGCTCCATGGGCGGTGGTGAGGGCGGCCGGCGCGTGCCCTCGGGTGCCGCCTCTGTGATGGTGAACTCATCGCGCCGCCGCTGGCTCTCCACCTCCCAGGCAGCGTGGTTGAGCTCAAACAACCGCTGACGGGTCAGGTTCCGGAACGCCAGGTGAATGGTGTGAGAGTACACCTGCGGGTGCTGTCCGGCACTGAGTGTGATCCGCACGGGCAGCACCTCACCCGGCCTCAGCACGCCCTCTGCTGGCTCCGGTCGAACTACCGGCCCGGCGGACTCGCCGCCAGAGGCGCTACTGTCAGCTCCATAGATGGCGCAGCAGTCGGCGGCGGCCAGGCGTCGAGTCCAGGCGAACTGCAGCACGTCTTCTCCGGAGTTATGCAGGTACACCAGCCGACTTTGCTCTGTGTGTGTGCTGAGCGCACCGAACTGCAGGTAGCGGTGTGACAGCCGCACCTGCTGGTCGGGCATGGTGGCCTGCTGTCGGCTGGGTATCTGCGGCTCGGCGGGGTCGGCGGCCGGCTCACCGGGAGCGGTACCGCGAGCGGTCAGCAGCAGCGGCTGGTGGCAACACGGAGCGCTGACACACACCGGCAGCCGGGCCGAGTACTCGCGCGCCTCCAGCGGCTGGAAGAGCAGCCGGAGCCGTGCGCATCCGCCGGCCGGCACGGTACCCTGGGTGTCCAAGCAGCGCAGCACCGACACGCCATAGTTCTCCTCCGCCAGCGCCTCCAGTGCGTCGGTGTGCACGTGGAACTGGACCGGCTGCAGACCGGCGTTATACAGCGAGCAGAACTGGAGAGGCGGCACGCGGCAGCCGACGGGTACAGGGTGCAGGGCCAGCCGCTGCAGCTCACCCCGGCCCAGCGCCGACTGCAGCGGACTTGGCCGCTCGGGAGCCGTGTCCGGGAGCAGCAGGCCCGGCCACGGCGGCTCGCTCACCGTGTACAGCCAGCCGCTGCCGGACTCCACGCCCGTGGCCACCACGGTCACGGGCACGGCGCTGCCGCCGTCCACCGCTAGCCGGAGCCGTGCGCAGGCGAGGCCGGCGGCCGACATCGGACCCACCGTCACTGACACGGTCTGACGCTGGCCGGGAGCCAGCCGGCCCGTGGTCGGCTTCAGAGACAGCCAGCTCGTATCCTCGGCCGTCCGACACGACCAGCCGACCGGCACTCGGCACGGGTTCTCTAGGAGCAGCACCAGACGCAGCGGCGGCGAGCCGTGCGGCCGGGGAGGGAACACCAGCGCCAGTGGCTGCTCTTGAACCGTCTCCGGTTTGGCCAGCGCAGCGTTCAGCCGATCCACGGCGAGAAGACGCCACAGCAGCGCCTTGTCCTCGAATCTCTCGCCACACATGGCCTCCAGGTCGGCAATCCATACCCGAGGCAGGTGGGCGCGCAGGGTTAACTCGGCCAGTTCCACTGGGTCCGTGATGGGACGACCGTCCACCTCTTCAGACAGCAGCCGGTAAGTCAGGTCGCAGTGACAGTCGCCGGCCTGGCGCGGGCATAGCTCCACCGTTACAGTTATCTCCTTCTCGGCGCCAATGGTCACCTGGCGCACGGCTGCCTCTGGCGGCGCCTGCGCCTCGCCCGGCAGCAGCAGTGCGGACGTGCCCGTGGTCTGTGTCTCCAGCGGACGGGGTAACAGTGCCAGTAACACCGGTACCGCCGCCGCGCAGCTGTTCCGCAGGGTCACAGAAGCGCGAGCCGGTGTACCCAGAGCGCACTCACCTAATGTCAGACGGCGCGGCGCGCACGAGATCGTCTCAGGCACCACCTGCAGACGGACGCGCACGTTATGCACGCGCGAGGTGCCGAGCGGCTGGTCACACGCGTCCAACAGCTGCAGCCGGTGAGGCACAATAAACTCGTGTGTACCGCACTGGTCAGCGCGGCAGCTCCACAGCACCGAGCGGCGCTGGTTCGGTGCCAGTGTCAGCTCCGGGAAGTCGGCGTACAGCGCTGTGTCACTCGGTTCAGCTGCCACACGCAGTCTGCAGCGGGTCAAGTTACGCACAATGGTCGACTGGTGGACGACCATTCCCGGGCAGGCGGCCGGCAGGCTGAGCTGCGGTGGTGTCCAGGCAGCCGCCGGCACCTCCTGGCTCACCAGCACCGCCAGCTGCAGGCGGTGACCGGTGTGCAGGTTCAGCCTCCAGCAGATCTCCAGTCGAGCGCGCGCCGTCTCAGTCCCTCCCGAGGCCGTGTACTGGACAGCCAGCACGTGAAGACTTCCGGGCGCTATGCGCCCAGCCAGCGGCCACACACGCAGTTCGGGAGCCGCCGATAGAAGGTCATACACCAGAGGCTTCCGCTCGTCCAGGTTTCGCAGTGTGACAGTGGTGGCGACAGTGCCGGATAGAGGACAGGGCGGCATCACCAGCGGGACCGGGGACAGCTGCACGCGCGGTACCCAGGTCTCTGCACCGTCGGCGAACGTGTGACCCAGCGCGGCGCAGACGATCGAGGCGGCCGCCGGGGTACCCGGGCTGGCCTCCGCCGGAGACAGCAGTGCTTCCACGTGACCGAAATACAGCTGGTTCGGCTCGTCGGGGAGGAAGATGATCTCGAACATCGCTGTCTGTCGGGGCCGGAGGCGAGCCACGGCCGGTCGGGCGCTCCACATATCTCGCCGCTCTGCCGGCCACGTCACGCGCAGCTCGCGTTCACTGACGTTACTCAGGTGAACCACGCACGTCTGGCCGTTCACTAGACAGGCGCGTCCGAAGTCGACCCGGTCCACATCGAGCACAGCCCAGGCGGTGGAGGCCGGCGGCTGGAACGGTCCGCGCGCCGGCATCGGGAGGCGGCCGGCGCCGCCGAGCAGCAGCTGCATGTGCTGCTGACCGGCCGGCGGGCCGTGGTGCACCAGCAGCGGCAGCTGACACCGCGCCGGCCTCCACTGCTCACTCCAGCAGCTCACCGAGACGCGCAGCTTCTCACCGGGCGCCACCTCTCCGCCGCTGGGCTCCACAGAGAACAGCGCCGAGCGGAGCGGCAGACAGAACGCCGCCGGCACCGAGCCGTCATTCAGCAGCTCGAAGTAGCGCCGTGCCGAGCTGCGGCCGGCCACAGCGCCAAAGTTCAGAGAGTCACACGACAGGGCCAGCGCTGGAGCGAGAGAAATCCCCTCGAGGTGTAGCTGGATGACACCAGCGCTGCCGAAGAGCAGCGTAAAGTAGTCGATGTCTTTGACGTGCGGAAAGCGCGGCCGGTATTTGACGGTGACGGTGGTGGCGTCACCCGGGGCTAGCTCACCGTAGGACGGACATAGCTTGAAGACGTCACCCAGCGGGTGGGACTGCGGGTCGCGCCGTAGCTGAAACGTCACGCTCTCGTTCGAGGGGTTGGCAATACGCAGGTAGCGTGACTCCGAACAGCCGGTGCCGATTCGGCCGTAGTCGATCGTCACCACGTCTTCCAAGCCCTCCGAGAGCACGATCGGTATTATTTTCTTCAGCTCGTCGGCGTTCATGGTTATGTGCTTTTGAAAGCTCGACTTATGGAGCTCAAAACCTCTTCACAATTCAAATTAACGTATTTACGCGAGGAAGGTCACTTATCCCATCTTTCAAAAACATAAAGTCATCATGCAACATCTCTTTGAGTTAAATGCAGCAAGATCTATAAAATGAAGCAGAGATCTGAAATTCAGCGTATCACAGAAATTCATCGGGCACGTCGGGTGTATTCGCGCCACGGCGAAGACATTGAGCACGTGCCGATGTGCTTAGCAGATGCTTCACTGTGATTGTTTCTTGATTCTTCTTTGACTGAGTGACTTTTTTTTTAGTTTTTCTATGACGACATTGGCCGTGCAAGGTAACGAATGCATGGTCGTTTTCAGCTGCACTGAAAACAATTTAACCCAAGGCCCGCGAGTAAACCGGTGTTTTGCAGGTACCCCTATCCGCAACCATTTTTAACCACCCTCCCTGGAGTACAGTAAGGTCCCATTGCAGTGTAGTCGTCCCTGCTCTCAGCGGACTTGTTCGCTGACAGCGGTAATATCCGCTCAGAGCAAGTACGACTACACCGCAATGGGACCTAGCACTACTCCTGGGAGGGTGGTTAAAAATGGTTGCGGATAGGGGTACCCGTAAAACACCGGTTTACTCGCCAGCCTTGGGTTAAACTGTTTTCAGTGTGTGTGCCTATAATGTTATTCAACCGCTCGATTCTCATAGGCATGCTGAACTTCTTGTTGGAGAGATAAGTTAACATATTGATTATGAAAACTGTTAAGTGAGGAAATGATACCGTACAATTTTTGATTTTTCAAAATATTTCGATGGCTTTTCTTTTAATAATTGAACCACGCAACGCTGGTACAGGGAAGCGAGTGGCATATCGCCCTAAAGCATATTTATTGTTTCCTTTCGTTCAGTATGTATGTAATTGGGTTCCACTCTCTTGTCCCATAAAGCTGATGATCCGCCACTGCCGAAAAGTGCACGCCAGGGCCACTGCATCCCACACCGCGGTGAAATGCGAGTTGCAGCCCTGACTTACCGGTCCGAGCAGTGCCAGGAAGTTGGAGACGAGCAGCAGCACAGTGGTGGTGACGATGCGCGTGCGGAAGGTGCGAATCAGTGTCCTGGTGAGCGAGGCATACCGAGGTCCCTTGTTGGCCACCTCTTGGCGCCAGTGCCGCTCCAAACGGGTGTAGTTGGTCTGGCACGAGTCTTCCGTCTACCGAGAACAGACAGGGGTCACTAAAACAAATGTTTACTTAACCCTCGCCCGCACATGCCATTTTCCCATCCTAGAACGCACATGGGGGGGGGGGGGGGTTGCCATGCCCCCCGCGCCATTTCGTTCCTGTTGGAGATAGAGCTTAGTGTTAAAGACCAAAAAGATTCTTTGGGAAGAGACAAATCTAATGATACCCAGTTTTACCTTCTCAGGTCAGTCATTGACCTTCCAGGTCAGGTCAAACTAAAAAATGTTGCTGTTTTGGATCACCGTTGGATATCAAGTGCGCTGCTTATCATATACCGATGACGATGCCGTTTTCTGGTGCCAAGCCAGCTAGAACCTCCTGGTCACACTACCCGACCAGATTTTTGCTGCTGAGGTCATTTCAGGTCAAGTTAGGTCAAGGTCAATTATATGTGTTTGTATGTCTGTGTGTGTCTGTGTGTATACTGATGTGTGCACCGATTGTTTATGTGTCCATATTACATGAAATCATGATCTGAGAAGCTTTTACCAAAAATGCAGTCAAAAAAATTCACAAAAAGTAAATTCCGCTTGCCTAAAACGCAATTATCTTAGATGACCTAGGTTGACCTTGACCTTGACCTTGACATCTGTACATCGTCGAACAACATGTTCCATGATAGGTGGGAGGTAAGATTGGCAAAAAAGGCCGAAATCAAGGTGTCAGAAGCTCACAAGGCCCATAGCCAACGCAAGATGTTGAAAATTGGCCATTTGGGTCATGACATGACCTGAAAAACAAGGTCATATCTCCGAAACCAAAAACCACAGAAACTTGAAATTTTCAGTGGACATCAAGAAAGGATAGAGGAGCAGCTATACGAAAAATCAGCGTTCTAGCTCTAAAAATGTTGAGTGCAGAGCAGAAAGACTACCGGGGGGTGGCAACCACCCCGCCCCCCCCCATGTGCGGGCGAGGGTTAAAAAGAACTCAAGCTAGTTAAACTCTTTAATCGCTTTTTGCTAAAATTTATTTCATTCTTATGAAGTTGATGTATGATTTATTTCATGGTATAGGCTCAATTTATACAAATTCTCACTGGTAGTCATATATTACCATTTTAGTCTAGCAATAGACCATGCGTTTTCTGCAGCACTCGCACAAAATTCACCATTTACGTACCCGAAGCGTCCAGATGTCGTCGGGCTTCAGTTGACCCCGACATGCTTTCCACATCAGTCCTGTCATCCATGAGAGAGTGTAGAGGGAGAGAAAACCCCGGCCAGGGCCTGGCATCAGGTGCTTTGGCTCCCTGACAGAGACGGAAGAGACGGTTAGTGATGACGGAACAGTTTTTTTTTTACAGTAAAACAGTGACAAAGAAGCGAACAGCTAAAGAGATTAGCCCCTTTAGCGATGGAAAATTAGGCATCTAATTGATCCGTTTGATGCTTTTGGTACCTGAGAGATTTTAGTAGTTGTTTACTAGTACCTAGGTTTTATATATTTTGAATGAAATGTCGATTGCTTTGGTTTTTTGCTTTCAATTTCAACGAAAAAGGCGCTCAATGTTCCGTCGTGAAATGACTGTCTTAGTGTTTCCTGGATCATGAGACCCAATGCGTGCTGAATTCTACAAACACAATAATTAGATGAAGCTTCGGACTTCAATACTCATGAGCCTTATTGAAGAGTGGCTACACAGTGACTTCATGGGATTTCATGTATATGATATTTACCAGGAAGTTGTAAGGTTTCATCAAACAATTAGTGTGAACGGCCGGCACAAGATAGCGGCATACAGCCGGAGAAGGTGTCTGCGGATCTTTTGCGATTCGGGAAACACAAAAGCACAATAATGGAGGCACGCATTGAGCCGGGACCTGATCGCACTGCGATATACCACCTTCCCCCGGACGGAAATCGTATGACCTTGACCTATCGACCTGAGTATACTGAGAGACTCAGGTTTTATAGGTTTCATATATTTACATTATTTAGGTTTTATGTAGGGGAGAGTGGGGTAAGATGCCCAGGGTGGGAAAGACTGCCCCCTCTAGCGGCGAAACAAATAATCGAACCTGGAAATTAAGGTTCTTAGCGTAAAGCGGAAGCCTGCCTTGTTAACTGAACAAAAATTTGCGAAGCTCAGTTGGGCAACGGCTGGCTGGTGCTTGCATGTTTTTTATTTGCTGCTTTCAAAAAAATATCTTGGTGTCAAAACATTGTAAATGTCAAAGAAGGTAGATAATTTTGCGTCCCTTACTATAGTCGTGATACATTAACATGCGTGTACTCTGTCCCAAGCAGTTTGTTTCAGGGTGTAGTTTTATGGCTAACAAATTGTACTGATTTAATATTACTTCGGTACCTTGGGGTAAGATGTCCTGTCCTGATGGGGAAAGACGCCCCCCTAAATCCGTAGGCTGTCCTTCAAGCAGCCCGTCAAATCATTTATTACATACTTGTGATGAGAGACAAAGCCGATCTGGGACTATTGAGAGTCCAGTACGGTTGGCTGCTCCCCATGCCGGTCTCTCGGCCCACACAGCGACTTTTTGGGCGGCATCTGACTTTGTGAGCCCTCACGACGGTCTCTATGGGCCACATTATTGGCTCCAGGGCCCCTCACGACATCCTTTGAGGGCTCCCACGTTGGCTCCACGGGCCGCGCTGGCATCTGAGGTCCCCACGATGGGCTCGAGGGCCCTCAAGCATCATGAAGACCTATAAGGGCCCCCACAGTGGTCTCCGAACGCCACCACGGAGGCTTGTTTGGCCGCGCTGGACTCGATGACCCTAACGATGACCTCTGAAGCCCCTTACGATTACTTTTGAGGGCCCTTACGATGACGTTTGGTGTCTACTGCAGGCTCGAAGGGACTACTGATTCGTTCAGGCGATTCACGTGCCCATTTATGTCACTTATAGTGCAGGGGGCATCTTCCCCAACGTCAGGGGGCGTCTTTCCCACCCTGTGGGAAAGACGCCCCCTGATAAGATGCCCCCTTTCACTTCTTCAGGAAAATGCTTAATAGCAAAAAAAGTTATAATATTTCAGGCACGAAAGTGTGATATTTTTGTAGAAAAATGATGTCGGCTTCCGTTTGAACTCCAAGTTTTTGCTTTCTGACCGTCATTTTCGAATAATATATGACAAAGTAAAGCCCTGGGCATCTTTCCCCACTCTCCCCTACCACTGCACGGTGGTATGCACGTTGGTAGGAAGGCGAGGTCACCTACTTTTTTCGTTGTGCAGCCAAAAATGTGCAAAATGAAAAATGAGCTCACACACATATTTTACACAAATTTTCTTGTTTATCGAACGCTTGAAGACATGCTACATTATTTCATCTCGCTACGTCAACTTTATGGAGAGATCAAACTATATTACATAAATGCAACATAGGTATTCTAGGTAGCATAAAAAGATGCCGGAGGATGTAACACTGAGACGACGATTTCTTATATCCATGAATACCCAAGCTCCACGACCTTCCCAAAAATGCCACGTCACTCCACGTCGTCACAAAATTATCAGTCTGCTACCTGAGACCATTAATTAGTGTCTCTCACTGTCAAAACGTACCTACCGGGTGCTGCCCGACTCCCCGCTGTCGTACAGAGACGAGCCCACCGTCGTGACACGCACGACCTTTCAGAGGCACGCCCCAGAGTAGGCGTTTTTCGGTAAAAAGTCGCTGTTATTCAATCTCATCACTCACTCTGTTACTAGGTTTGAGAAGGCCACTGGCGCGTTTGTGGTATGTGCCTCGTTTGTTCGGTGACAAAATGTGCACGGTCATGCTTGAAATTTGCTGTGGCGCATTTATGTTCCAAGGCGACAGAGTCCCTATGGCTGTATAACCCTGCGAGCCACAGGTTTCTGACCACCGATGTAAGTACTTACACACACGAAATACTATAAAATCGTCTTTAACAAAAACAAGCCCGGAGTTTAACAGCATGAGCCATTCAAGCTGTTTAGCCTCCCATAGGAGGCTGAGGGTCTATCAACACAGCTAAGTCACTGACGTGAATTACTCAAAATGAGGATGCTATGCCAGCCTTGATGTGCATACCGGTGGACTGCTTCCGAGTGCTTTTTTTGTTCCCGTTTCTGCTCCCAGCGATCCAAGCAGGGCCAGTGTGGCGACTGAACATGTCCCACCAGCCCATTGTCCTATGACAAACAAGGGCCGGCCGGCTCTGACCCAGGCGTGCTTGGGGATACGTGACCTCGAAGTCCTTTTGGACGCGGCCCTTATCACTTAAAACGAACAAGTGATCGTGAGCTTCGTCAACGTTGCTGGTGTTAGTTGGAACTTATCATGCAACCTCTTCAGTCATTACTTCCCTAGCTTGCGAGACTGGCAAATTCTCATTCGTTCCAGTTAGCCGTCCAGACATACACTCATACAGTCCTGCAGGGGTTGTTATGCAACACAGACTTCAGAAGGTCTCTCCTCTCTCTCTCTCTCTCTCTCTCTCTCTCTCCTCTCTCTCTCTCTCTCTCTCTCTCTCTCTCTCTCTCTCTCTCTCTCTCTCTCTCCTCTCTCTCTCTCTCTCTCTCTCTCTCCTCTCTCTCTCTCTCTCTCTCTCTCTCCACTCTCTCCCCCTTTCTCTCTTAGATTAAATGACTGGAGTTACACGCAACTCACTCTCCTTTGCTATTATGCGATTAATATTATCTCGTTAATTTTGCACACCATGTAATATCACAACCATAACAATTGCGTGGAAATGCTCGTGACATTGCCATGGCAGACGCGGGAAACTTACTTGGACTTTGATCGGATGGGCTTTAACTGCTTCAAGGAGGATTTGTATCTCTCCGACCATTTTCTCTTCGTATATTCTTGCAGCCTGCAAAACACGGCATCGGTGGTAAACTAGCGTAGCGTTAAATGTAAAACAGCAAGCTTTCGATGATTCAAGAACTATTCGGTATCAAGATTTTCGGGTCTTCATAAAAAAATCATATTTAGCAATCAGCATATCAAATAGCAACGCGATGCACCATGTCACCGACATCACATCAAACTGTGTCATATACATACACACACCGTTCTTAGCCCTTTGTTTCGATCGTTTATTGTTGCTGCTGAGTGCTCACAGCCCGCTGAAGTTACTCACTCAGCAGTCATGGTGCGTCCGTGCCCCTTCCGTCAGTATCGACCGGTCTCTGACCCGCCACTCTGACTCGCTGACCCGTTCAGCGGTGACCCGACCCGGGCGGCGCCGGCAGCACACTGTCTGACTGTCTGTCGGTGACCGGTCACTGGACGGGTCCGATGGGCACTGAGGACAGGGGGACGTCCGGCCGATAGCGTGACGTGACGTGACGCCTGGAACGAGTCGACGACGCTGCGGTGTGATAGAGGCGCGGTCACGGATTGGTATTGAGGGGGAAGCGGGGGGAGGGATGCTATACATTACCCGTGAACCGGAGTTGGGGAGACCGTGATGTGAAGACAGGCATGTAAACACGGAACTGAGTGAGGTACGTACGTACTCCCGACTAATGGAGACGAGTGTCATGACTGTTGTGAGTGTTGCTGGATTTAACAAACTTGAAATGAGGCATGCCATCACTTCGAGAACGGTGCGCTCCATGACAGATCCAAGGAGTAATTAATTAAGATTGTGAAAAAACATATCTGTCCAGGGAGAAGTCAAATATTGTCCCTGTTACCGATAACTCACTCCTCGCGTCAAAACAGCTTAGCATGACATGACGCGTGGAGGGTCATTTGTGCGACTGGTACTTAGAACTGCACTTTGTGCAACTGTACACAGTTTGCCGACAAATAAACAATTCAACGAGTAGCTGGAGGTGAGCTGGTGCGGATTATGCGTATATTTCACACAGGTTGCTTACACAGTTGAGTTGATAACTATGTCATCGATGCCCTTAGGATGCGATTCGGCTTACGGTATTGATCTTCAGTTGATCAACTGCAGTTATGTACCTTTTTTTCGTGATTGTGCACAAGTCACGGGTTTTTCTTAACCCTCGCCCGCACATGGGGGGGGGGGGGGTGGTTGCCACCCTCCCCAGGCAGTCTTTCTGCTCTGCACTCAACATTTTTAGAGCTAGAAGGCTGATTTTTCGTATAGCTGCTTGTCTATCCTTTCTTGATGTCCACTGAAAATTTCAAATTTCTGTGATTTTTGGTTTCGGAGATATGACCTTGTTTTTCAGGTCATGTCATGACCCAAATGGCCAATTCTCAACATCTTGCGTTTGCCATGGGCCTTGTGAGCTTTTGACACCCTGATTTCGGCCTTTTTTGCCAGTCTTACCTCCCACCTATCATGGAACATGTTGTTCGACGATGTACAGGGGTCAAGGTCAGGGTCAAGGTCAACCTAGGTCATCTAAGATAATTGCGTTTTAGGCAAGCTGAATTTACTTTTTGTGAAGTTTTTTGACTGCATTTTTGGTAAAAGCTTCTCAGATCATGATTTCATGTGATATGGACCCAAAAACAATCGGTGCACACATCAGTATACACACAGACACACACAGACATACAAACACATATAATTGACCTTGACCTAACTTGACCTGAAATGACCTCAGCAGCAAAATTCTAGTCGGATAGTGTGACAAAGAGGTTCTAGCTGGCTTGGCACCAGAAAACAGCATCGTCATCGGTATTTGATAAGCAGCGCACTTGATATCCAACGGTGACCCAAAACAGCAAAATTTTTTAGTTTGACCTGCCCTGGAAGGTCAATGACTGACCTGAGAAGGTAAAACTGGGTATCATTGGATTCGTCTCTTCCCAAAGAATCTTTTTGGTCTTTACTGCTAAGCTCTATCTCCAACAGGAACGAAATGGCGCGGGGGGGTGGCAACCACCCCCCCCCCCCATGTGCGTTCTAGGATGGGAAAATGGCATGTGCGGGCGAGGGTTAAAGGTCATCTAAAGTAAGGTCGGTCCAGTAATCTGACCATTTGAAGTCATTGGGGCACCATAGAATCTGCTATTTTTAATTTTGGTCTTGGTCAACGGAAATGATCCAAGCTATTTAACGCACGGAAGCGTATTTTCCATTCCTTCCATACTCAGTACCTATATAATGCTTCACGTTCGTGCTGTTGTCACTATGTGACAACTTCACATAGTGACAACTTCACGTTCATGCTGTTGTCACTATGGTCATCGAAATGTTTTGTTAAAAGTGTCATCAAAATTAAGCTAGCGAGCCCCAAAAGTCACCAATAGACTCAGGCAATCTGTCAAATCGAATGATATGTGATATTAACCCGCGGCGGGCCGGTGCTCCGAGACTTCCGCGCCGGGCCGGGGGGGAGGTGTCTGAACACCCCCCCCTTTTAACTCGGCTCCTGGGCCACGTAGCGACAAGCGGTAAGCGGCAATCGAAAGAACGTCCAAAATAAGGACGAACACACTTCGGTTATTTTTTTAGGTAAGGTCAAAGGTCAGGTCACCAGAGGTTACCAAAGGAAATATGTTGGCTATTTCAAAATTTTTGAAAACTGCCCACGGCTAACTCGGGAACCGATAGATCTACGGCGCCACGGAAAAGCGCATTCGATGGATATTTCGCCACCATGTCCTCAGATTTGACCTCAGACCAACGGTTAGCCTCCAGAAGGCAAAAACTCCAAAACTAGGCGTTTTTACGAAAAGTGTCTTTTCGGCAATAACTTTTGACTCAAAAGAGGCACGACATTACTTTTGGCAGAATAGTGTTCCTCTCGTCGAGACGCTTCGAATAAACTATAATTTGACCTTGAAAGGTCAATTTGAAAATTTGACCTCAGGTCAAGGTCATGACCTGACCGGAAAAGGTCATGTTGCATACCAGTCGATCCGCATCGTCGAGCCGAACACATCTAATGTATTTTCATCGCTCTAAAATGTCTCTATCAGAATTTATTAGCGAAAAAAATATGTTAGATACTATTCGTGACCTGAGATGACCTTTGGGACATAACGAGGGGTCACAGGTGCCATTTTTCGGTTCAGTGTGTCAAATTTTACCTACATCCCGATGTTTGAGAGTGTCTATGTTTATCTCTTCCAGACAAAGGAATATCACTCGACATGCCTGATCGTGACACACGATGGTGCCAACATCGTGCCTCTCCGACCATTTTTGGCGAAGCTACAAAAAAACAACAACAACAACAAAACACACACACAATCCATATACCTTACCCTGTAGGTACCTGTATTTACCAAAAACGAAACCCTGACCATGGGAACTTTGACCTGATCTCAGAGGTCACCGGTTGAACTGATACTTGCTATCGGGTACCAGTCTCTGCATTTTATGACGGCTGCACGCTTGTTTTTTCCGCGACGCCTTAGCTTGATAAGGGGCGAAACAGTGAGGGGCACACCGCTTCGCCCGGGGCGTATGCAAAAAAAAAAGAAGATTGATCCGGCTGGGGTTAAACGGTGAATTCCTTGGAGAACATATACCGTACCATGCAACTTACCAATACCGTGCAATGCCGTCCTGGCTGGCTGGACGTAATTAATTCTCAACGTAACATTTGAAGCTGTTGACAGTTTTGCGCTCCGTCACGATATAGTTTTTGTATGAGGGGCTCGTGTCTGAAGGCAGCAGGCGTGACCGGTAATTTAACATTTACGTCAACTTCAAACTCGCCTCATTAAATAAAGATAGACTGCAGGGCACAAAACAGTTGTCAGCATATGCTCTGAGATAGACCAACTCGGCGCTCCCTTGATATTCACTGCCGCGGATTACAAGATCTATACAGACCAAATCATCGTCACTAGCTCCCTTCATTGATAACAGCGCCTCATGGAACGTGTCTCGGCCCGGTAGACTGATGGACACTGAACATGACCTCATCATCCCCTTGTGGTACATACATGGCGCCAGCCTTTCTGCAGACGTTACGCCACACGCCACCGCTTTGACGTAAGGACATGCTGATTTTGCAGAGTCGGTGATTCAGAAGAGGACTGGATGCTTCTGTTAAATATCTTCCCGGCCACACAATTAGGGACAATCGCTTGGCACGTTGTTGGAGCTGGATGAGGATTGAACAAGGAATCTGTATGGCTGATTCTTTCATCAAAAGACAGCTAATTTTAGCATTCTCCCTGAAACTTTCTACCATCCTATGTTCGTTGTTCAGGTCCTTTTCGCAGCCGATCAGAGATCGATCATCTGATGGATTTGGATCTGGCAGATGATAATCTGGATCTGCATTGGATGGCAGATCTGGCGCGCGCTGCAGTCCAATCCACGATGTGCAGCGTCAGGAATTCATTCCTAGATATGGTTTTCAGTGACGCCATGTAAACAGAGCGCACGTCAGGCTCATGAGCTGAGAACATTGCCTCTGGTGCAGCGCCGACATTCACGGAACTGCTGTGTTGGAGCTTGCAGGTCTGGTCCGTGGTCATGGTAATCATGTAACTTATGCGGCTCATGCTGCAGTCAGAGGACCACGTGGCAGATGGAATAGGGATTGCTCGTTAATTGCAAGTAGGTGGCGCCTTGTACGACCACTGGCTCCACACCACTCACTGCATGCAAATTGTGCCTTGACCAAAAGTGTAACCATACCTGCTAGACGCCTCGGTGAGCACTGAATACCTCAATCAAAAATCCTTTACTGAACTTAACCATGTAGCGTTCGCAATGATTGACTGCAGTGTGATGGAAACAGATAAGTGTATGTCCACTCAGTAATGTTACACTTTGTTATCGGGAGACATGCGCATTGATATCCATGAAAACACTGGGGAGACCAAATCACATGTTTTAGAGACATGTTAGTGTGGAGAGCAAATAGATATTATAGGATTAAATTGGACTTACTCCACAAGAGAATCGTTTTCGGTCGGAGCTTTCGACATGTATTACATGTCCTCTTCAGCGAAGGTCGGTAATCGGGGCGAAAATAAAACGTTCGGGTCGAATCGAATCGCACAAGATGTCGGTGAGCTGCGCAGAGTTATTTAGGCCGCTTGAATTACAAAATAAGCAAGACTGAAACACGTGACGACAATAAGAGTACACTCAATGAGAAAGTCTACCAAAAAAACAAGAACGCATACCACACTAATAAAATCATTGTTCTGCAGTAAAGCCAAGCACCACTTGCCGAAGCTGCAGGAGAGCAACGTGGCCTACAAGATCGAGTGCTCCTGCCAAGTTGACGGTGATCCTGTGGTCTACATCGGCGAGACAGACCGTGAGCTAGGAACCAGAGTCAGAGAACACCGGGAGAGCTGGACTGGAGCTGTTCGCTCGAGAGCCAACGCATCGGCCTTCAGTGCTCACAGGGATTGTTCACCTGCCTTCGATGAGGTCAAGGTACTAAATCGAGCCAACCACTACCAGATGCGACTGCTGCTCGAGTCGGCGTACATCCGGACTGTGGGACGGCGGGAGGCCGTCTTGGTGTCGCCTAATGATGCGAATGTGAACAGAAACTCAGGTGCGCTGCTGCAAGACCGCTGGCTGCCAATAATTCGTCGTGTTTGCCAGTAGTTTTATAGTGTTTTAAACATTTATATCGTGTGATAGTGTTTTTTTATATTGATCTCTTTACACTTTTGTACCCTACCTGCTTTAGCATCTTTGTAGTTTTTAACTTTTGTGGTATTTATAGGTATGTATAACGTTTTATATTTCTGTACCGAGATAGTATGTATTGATTTCTATATTTTTTAGGATTTTATTAGTGTGGTATGCGCTCTTGTTTTTTGGTAGACTTTCTCATTGAGTGTACTCTTATTGTCGTCACGTGTTTCAGTCTTGCTTATTTTGTAATTCAAGCGGCCTAAATAACTCTGCGCAGCTCACCGACATCTTGTGCGATTCGATTCGACCCGAACGTTTTATTTTCGCCCCGATTACCGACCTTCGCTGAAGAGGACATGTAATACATGTCGAAAGCTCCGACCGAAAACGATTCTCTTGTGGAGTAAGTCCAATTTAATCCTATAAAATCACATGTTGATATGAATCGACTCAAGTGTCTGTATGCACGACAGAACGGATTGAAAGATAAACACAGCTTAAAAACCAATAAAGGATTATGTGAGTGAGAGCGTGAGATGATGTTTTTCGTACACCAACACCTAACATAAAGGACATCTAACATCTAAGAACAATAAAGGATTATTATCAAGCTCAGAGATAAGCTGAATTCAGGAAGACCGCTTGCCTCATGAATCGTTTCGGTTCGAAGTTATGCAAGTAGGGTGATAACCTCGCTTCCGCCAAGTCTCGGTAATTTTAGCATCGTTGGAAATTTGATTTACTTTTATTATGACCGTTTGAATGATCGCTGTTAGACGTGACAGAGATATCAACTCAAGCAGCAACTGAAGCCCCGTTATCGACAATAGAGGTGGCAAAAGATGAAAATTTTGGGAACCAGACTCGAACCAGACCCGGCTGGACATTTCTGGAACCAGTCGGACCCGGTCTTAGTTGGAATCGGAACCAGTTGGACCCGTTCCCCAAAAGTCAATTAATACAAACTACTTGTAGTCATCAATAGTTGCATCATGTAAAACAGCGTATTTCCAATTGGGAATACTCATGAGCTACTGTGTGCAAAGAAACATTAACTTACTTCACTTCATATTTTGCAATAATGTGTAGTGTGCTAGATGTATAGTTTATGGTAGGACCCGGTTGGACCCGTCAGAAAATTTCCAGGAACCGGTCTGGACCCATATGGGTCCAGACTGGTTCTTTGGACCGGGTCCTCGGGTCCACATTTTGCCACCTCTAATCGACAATTAATGTCACACGACTGTCCCGATCGCTAGATCACATCATGAATTTAACTGAAGCGTGCCCAGAGAACCTTGCATAACGGTCGATTTTTCAGAGTGCATATGACGTCAGCTTCACGTCAGCATCGTAGGGGAAAGAGGTCAACATCATGTAGTGCATCTGTGAAAAACATCGGCAGTGCAAATACGGCCCATATAAGATGGAACTCTAGTGCTTTAATTACTATAATTGTTTGCGGTGATTGGGAAAAAGGACAATTACAAACACTTTTTTCTTTCGTAATCATGCATAAATAATATGACATACATATATGCCGCACAGACTGCGCGAGCACGTGTGCAAACTGTTGCGACCAATGAACATGCCAGAAACAATCGACTGCGATCTGATTTGAGCCTGAAAATTTAGTGAAAAAAAGGGGGAGGGTGCCCCTGCTTTCCCACACCCACTCACCTGAACACCAAACACAGCACTCTCAGCTCTTTACCACGCTATCCTGTAGCGACCCCTCTCCACCGCAGCCTCCGACTGCTCTATGGGCCAACTGGCGGCAGACGCTCCGGCCCCAGACAGCTGAGCAGCCACCGGCCGGCGGTACGCCTCCTCTGTCGCCAGGAGCCGTCAGCTGACCACAGACCGGCGCGCGCAGCCCCATCGACCGCGCCACCTGCTTCAGCAGCCAACCGACGACGATGGCGAACGTCGCAGACGGTGGTCGTCGCAGAAGGCGATCTCATGGCGAGGCGGTATTTATAGATTGACGTCTGCGCTCACAGTGGCCGACATGGCTTGGGATTGGGAGTCCAACTTTGAATTTGAACTCCAAAACCTTGACATTGGACTTCGTAGTAGTTTGAAAAGACGATATATAATTTGAGGATAGTCTTGATAGCTTCGTGAATTTACTCCGTAACTAGGTACATTTATATAATTTCTTATCTGGGTATTACATAAGTTTCCTGTATAGCTTCTTTTCTATAAGTAATGCCCAGTATCATATCATATTTGGAGCATGGCAATAGCCACTCTGCACACTGAGGCACAGCCCTGTTCATTAATCACCAGCAACAAAGCCCCCTTCACAGTCTCAGCCACAGTTTTGATCATAAATGTCATAGTCCTGGTCTCTGTCACATCCACAGCTTACGTCACCCATGGCTGCCCCATCTCAGGGAGCTGTCGATGGTTCTCCAATAGGTGGTACCCCGCAGTGACCCCCGCCGCGCGGCACCCACGCAGCCGCCGACAGATACGACCTCAGGTCGTTTGTCATACGACGTGGGGTCCAACGATTAATGATGAGCGGCCGGTGCGCTGTCACAGGACCCGGCTACTGGATTCGTCAGAGCGGAAGAGTGACGCGGCAGTTCCAGACTCCGCGCTTTTCATACAATGCTCATCAATTGTGTTTCAAGGTTTTTTGTTTGTTTTTTGCTGTTTTTCATAAATTTCTTTGACTAGCCATTAACCCTCGCCCGCACATGCCATTTTCCCATCCTAGAACGCACATGGGGGGGGGGGGGTGGTTGCCACCCCCCCCGCGCCATTTCGTTCCTGTTGGAGATAGAGCTTAGCAGTAAAGACCAAAAAGATTCTTTGGGAAGAGACGAATCCAATGATACCCAGTTTTACCTTCTCAGGTCAGTCATTGACCTTCCAGGTCAGGTCAAACTAAAAAATGTTGCTGTTTTGGGTCACCGTTGGATATCAAGTGTGCTGCTTATCAAATACCGATGACGATGCTGTTTTCTGGTGCCAAGCCAGCTAGAACCTCTTTGTCACACTACCCGACCATAATTTTGCTGCTGAGGTCATTTCAGGTCAAGTTAGGTCAAGGTCAATTATATGTGTTTGTATGTCTGTGTGTGTCTGTGTGTATACTGATGTGTGCACCGATTGTTTTTGGGTCCATATTACATGAAATCATGATCTGAGAAGCTTTTACCAAAAATGCAGTAAAAAAAAACTTCAAAAAAAGTAAATTCAGCTTGCCTAAAACGCAATTATCTTAGGTGACCTAGGTTGACCTTGACCCTGACCTTGACCCCTGTACATCGTCAAACAACATGTTCCATGATAGGTAGGAGGTAAGACTGGCAAAAAAGGCCGAAATCAGGGTGTCAAAAGCTCATAAGGCCCATGGCAAACGCAAGATGTTGAGAATTGGCCATTTGGGTCATGACATGACCTGAAAAACAAGGTCATATCTCCGAAACCAAAAATCACAGAAACTTGAAATTTTCAGTGGACATCAAAAAAGGATAGAGGAGCAGCTATACGAAAAATCAGCCTTCTAGCTCTAAAAATGTTGAGTGCAGAGCAGAAAGTCTACCTGGGGGGGGGGGGTGGCAACCACCCCCCCCCCATGTGCGGGCGAGGGTTAACAAAACACATTCGTCGTTAGAATATTCATGTGCAGGTAGATCGTTTCTGATTCAAAACGCTGCATATTTTTGCGAAAGTTTACAATTTATGGGAAGTACAGCAATTAAATTCATAGGATAACTAATGTCAACCAAGACTTTCTCCATCTTTTTTAACATTTTGTCCCTCGGTTCGATTGTGTCAGTGGGAACAGAATAACAATAATAACAGAAACAGAATAGTTATATAATCACAATTCACAGCAGCCAGTCATTCACAGTATTTTTCTAATGCTGCAGCTCACCATGATATGACAGGTTCCTAGGGTTGCGTACGCTTACATATGTGAAGGCTCGAACGCGGAACAATGCCCGGCTAGCCCTGCCCCGACCGTGCGGTGGCCTAATGGCGCACTCATCTCTCCAAGTCGACAATCGACATACCATGCCTCCACTGCCCTGGGAGGCGCCAACGATCCCGTCACCGGCTGTGGCACCATGGTGGCGCAATCGTATAGGTGGGGCTGGGGTTATAGGTATCTGCTTGGAGCTCTAGTTCAATTAGGGACGAAGCGGCGACGGGAGGAGGGTATAATGCGCCTTCTATGTAACTATTCTTATATTGACTCCTTGTCCTTACCAATGATGAGGATAAGTTGCATGATGATTCATCATCCCGTCCTCGACTTTTGTAAAAAAAAGAATAGTTCTGGACTCTGACAATGGTATAGAGCCACGTTTTGCCGTAAACAAGCATAAGCTCAAGATTATTGATGCTGCACATACAAAATCTAACATAATGTCATCGTACTAACTAGATTCGTCATCGTCTTCATCGTCATCGAATCATCATTGTAACGATTCTATGGCCAGGATTCAGGACATATATCCCACTTATTTGCCGCACCGGAAAGCATGCTTAATATTCGTATGAAGGGTATGTACTGCGGCACAGCAAACAGCAGGCGCTCTGCTATTGCCACCTGGCGGCAAAGAGTGAAACTAGTGGTCACTGCGGCACAGCATAACTTCAGGCGCTCTATTATTGCCATCTAGTGACGAAAGGTAAAAGTACTGATCATTGCGGTACAGTATAGCTGCAGGCGCCTTGCTCCTGCCATCTAGTGGCGAAAGGTAGAGGTATTAGACGCTGCGGCACAACATCTCTACAGACGCTCAAGTCGCCAAGAAACAATTGTACTACACATTGCCTTACGAGGAGTCAGGTAATAACAATGCGTCATCAATCTGAACATAATAACATTTTCAAAGACTTTACATTGGTAAACATCTTCGGTGGTGGTTTTAAGAACTACCTCCACATTTAATTCGTTTTATTATGATTATGTAAATGTCGTTTTTTCCGGGTGCCATAGATTGATCTAAAATATCAGATCTAGTTCAGCTAGACCATAAACGCTTACAATTTTAACTTTTTAAGCGGTAAGGAGTTTTGAATTTCCTAGGAGCGTACTTACATGAGACGTATGATTTTCATGAGACGCTTGGTTTACACTCATCATTGAAGCTTTAAAATATAAATGAATGTTTCGATGTATGTAGGTAACTAAATCCTTTGGTGTGTTGCACATATCGTTGAGTCCGCTGGCAATCAATTTGATTAGGATAATATAGTCAAGGCTTCGTTGTCAGTATTCCATTAGGGAGTTATATGTTATGTGTACACCTTTCCAATGTTACAGCTCCGGTTGTCGCTAGGTGCATTCTGCTTTGTTTGGTTGGTTGCTTAACCCGCGAGTTGCTGGGGGGGGGGGGGGGGCGTTAAACGCCCCCACTTTTTTTCGCCGGGCCATAGCATAAAAATGGCGCGCTGCAGGCGCGCCAAATTTTGGGTACCTGTAGGGAATTGATTGAAGTTTATTGTGACAAAGTTTCAAAAAATCGGTCGGAAAATTTTTGAGATATCGAGGTTTTAGTGACGTCATGATTTCTGAGTTTTCGACCAAAAACGGCATATGTTCAAAAAATCATATAAAATCACATAATAGACATACAGACATGCCGTAAACGCCATTAGAATGCCAATACCATGAACAATCAAATGGTTATCTTCGATTATTGATTATCGTTCCGCATTTTCCAAAATCTTGAACTGAATCTTGACAATTTCTCGTGACTACTTCACGACCATGATACATGAATTTCTTAAGTTGAACTTTTTGAGCCAAACACGTACACATATGATAAAATGAATGTCACCATCGTGTTCTACGGCCCAAATTACCCATAAACATGTGTCATAGGCTGCGAATAACGGTTTTGATTTTCGGGGATATGTGCCTACCCGGTTGACCTGACCTTGACCCTGACCTATGCTTGACTGACCCCTACATGGAACTGACACTCTTGTAGGCCTTATATGATGAATTGTGCACCGTTTTGACAGAGTTTCTGACGAGAGGCGCCCATTGCGAAGTCCTGAAGTCCATGCTACTGAAAGCCCGATTTCAGGTGTTTGACCTGACCTTGACCCGACCTGTGACCTCAAAATTCAGCTTTAAAGTACTCATCTGAAGCGTCTCGTCGCGTTCTTTCGTTTGCCGCCTCGTGCGTTTCGCTGCGCCTATTGGTTCTCGAGTTATCGACTGGGGGCGTTTAACCCCCCCCCCCCCAGCAAACGGTGGGTGGCGAAATACCCCAGCAACTGCCGGGTTAAGTCACGCATGTCTATTGAGACAATTTCAGTGCTATAAGATAGGGAAGGATACAGGAGAGACCTCGGGCTGAAACAATCTTTTCAATGGCTGGAGCGTTGCAGTCGCATGAACTTATTGCGCTGGAACAGAAGTGCACCGGGAGGACAGACCAGCCAGCCGCTCAAAGGACCAAGTAGCGAGCGCGTGCTTCAGCTGGAGTTTGCTACCAGGGGCGGAATGACACTCAGTCCGTATCGCGATGAGGATGGTTTGGCCCTGAACACCAGAAGGACAAATGCACACTGCACGCTGAAATTATGTACCGCAGTATCAGTCAGAGATCGGCTAGTTGGGGCTGTCATGGGGGAGTGCAGTCTGAGCGAGAGAACGCCAACGACATCTACTGCATTCAGGGTGACTACCACCAGATGCCGCTCGGAATCACATCACCACCCTGTGATGATGTGCCACCTGCGTCGCTAATAAAAAAGACTTCTGTTTTTTTTTTCTGCAGACAAAGCCCACAATGTGCTGTTGTCGCGCTAGAAACACGTTATTTTCAAGGGATGCGTGTTTGAAAGTGTATACTGATCTTTCTTCGTCAGTATCCCTTAGGGACGGCAAGACAGGCGCCCCAGACAATGGACCGTGCTGTGCCGGCCCTGCGTCAGAAGATCGGCCAGTTGTCCCCTGAGTGTCCTGAATGACGCCAGTGTAAGAGACCAGACGACTGAAGCGAACTTCTGAGATGCAGCATCAGTTACAATCTTGCCCAACACATGGTTTGCTATTTTGACCCGAAGCCTCTTTTAGATGCCAGCCAAGGCTCTCACGAACTAGTAAAACCTAAATTCTTCTCTCTCACTAGCCGTGTGCGTCTAAAAAGCGTTGCTGGGATAGGCAAGGGCTACGATACTGATAATACGCCGCATAAACACCCGCGCTGACCAAATATAATGACGCCACGAGCTCATTAGCACGTGCTCGGCGATCGGTGATACGAGTAACCTTAATATACCAATTTTCTTTTGGCGCGACTCGGTCTCGACTCCTTTCACGCCCTCTGTCGATCAGCGTCCTGCATAGGGTCAGTGCCGTGATTTCCCGCTGAAAGACCCGCTGAAAGACGAGACGGACGGATGAAAGGAGGAGACAATGGGTTGGGAGGGAAGATAATGTAATAGTGGGGGAGTGGGGAGGAGGTGGGGAAAGATGTTCCCTCTGTGATGGTTTGTCAGCAAAGGGAAGGGTGCAGTTCGTGGGGCGCCGCCGCCTGTAGTCACTTCCACGTCAGTGCAATGTCTGGCCGACCGCTAGGTGTCACTGGGTGTTTCATATGAGTCATGGGTTTACACGATGCCGCCGCCGAGTACGTACGGGCGTTTGCGGCGCCGATGTGTGTATGGCTGTGGGCCTCGCCGTTCTAATGAATCTTACAGTCTCATCCGATCCAGTAAGGTGCCATTAGCACGTGCTCGGCGATCGGTGATACGAGTAACCTTAATATACCAATTTTCTTTTGGCGCGACTCGGTCTCGACTCCTTTCACGCCCTCTGTCGATCAGCGTCCTGCATAGGGTCAGTGCCGTGATTTCCCGCTGAAAGACGCCAAAGAAATTGCCAAATGCTAGTGGCAATCTGCAATCGTCGGCAGGCAGCACAAAGATGTTCCCTCTGTGATGGTTTGTCAGCAAAGGGAAGGGTGCAGTTCGTGGGGCGCCGCCGCCTGTAGTCACTTCCACGTCAGTGCAATGTCTGGCCGACCGCTAGGTGTCACTGGGTGTTTCATATGAGTCATGGGTTTACACGATGCCGCCGCCGAGTACGTACGGGCGTTTGCGGCGCCGATGTGTGTATGGCTGTGGGCCTCGCCGTTCTAATGAATCTTACAGTCTCATCCGATCCAGTAAGGTGCCAATATCAAGGTCGAGGCCATGCGTCCATGAAAACACTGAATGGAGTTACCACCACCTTTCGTCGGCTCTCCCCTCCCCTCCGTCGCGGTCGATGGGGCTGCGCGCGCCGGTGTAAGGTCAGCTGACGGCTCCTGACGACAGAGGAGGGGTACCGCCGGCCGACTCAGCTGTCGGGGGCCGGGGCGTCTGCCGCCAGTTGGCTCACAGAGCAGTTGGAGGCTGGGGTGGAGAGGGGCTGCCCCAGGATAGTGTGGTGAAGAGCTGAGAGCGCTGGGTTTGGTGGAGGTCAGGTAAGTGTGGATATGCAGAAAGGCAGAAAGATATGATATATCCTGTGGCATCAATATCGCTGCGTCCTCATGGCACCAAATGTGTTATAAATTTCATGGCACGTCCTTTTTGTTCTCACATCGCACATCGCTTTCTGTGCGGGATTAGCTGTAGCTTCTAAATTTTAGGGCCTCTTCTATATGAGATATCATCGGTTGACCGTCTACATATCTCGGTGACCGTCTTTGAAAAAGAGCTATGCTACGGCATAGCATCAACTGGTGGTTACAGCTGAGCTAATATCGGTCTCGCCATGCGTTGACCACGTGCATCTCCTACTCGAGACGCCATTTGTAGTTGCGTCGGAGGCGTTCATACGTCAGGAGTTCCGCTGATTCTGGGCTGCTCACTGCACAGTGCTCTGTTTACCTTACCGGACATGAGATCATTGAATAAGTCCCTGCACACAGCCTCGCGAGTCATGGACACTCGCGAGTTGTCCATAACCTCACTAACTATGTAGTCCCGCGCTGCTTTTGTTTACCAGAGTCCAGCATGCTTCTCTTTTTTTTGCTTTTCATAGTTTTTCGATAAACATATTCCTTTGAGATGAGCTATGTTTATAACTGTGGCTGTGCACGGAACGCGTTTTTGCTGTTGGATCTGCTTTTTTTTGTCGGACCACGGTGTGGAATGTTACTTTCTCTGGCGTCGCGCTTCTCTATGAAAAGTAGCTCTCCGCGGGTATCCCGTAAGTTCATCGTAGTTTGGCGTGCAAAGGTAGACTACAGGCTTGGGTACGTAAATGTGCATGCATTACATAGTATTGTTTGTTTACCTAAAGGTCAACGTGGCTATTTGCACTACGATGCAGTAGTTTGTGCTAATGGTTTGATAGCCACCAGTGTTTCTTGATTTGATAACTAAACGTAGCTCTGCATTCGCGTTCGTCCTCTGTCACATCGTGTGTGGTGTGTGTGTTGATCGAGTTCGTTCACTCGTTTTTGCGTGTCCTCGTGTGAGCCACGGCGCCATGTGTGGGACGCCAGGGACAGTCGCTGCCACTGCCAACGACATGTGGCAAGGGGAAGGGCGACAGGGACGGAGGGGAACAAAAAAGGGGTGACATGGTGCTTCCCACATGTGTCGTCTTTACCAATCCCTCGCGTGGGTTACTGCGGGGCGCTGGCGACGTTTATATCCAAATGTTGGGACTTTTCAATAGAGACAATCACTATTCTTTAGAATTGTGATTTTCTATTGAAAATCCCAACCTGAGCTACCTCTCTAGGGTGATTATGCCACCGGAGCAGCAGTCAATAAGATTAAACGGCTCGGTTTGCATTAGGATGGTTTAACCCATAATTTATTATTGATTTTGCTATAAGTAACAACGTCCAAGTTTACAGAGCAGCTTGGCTATTCTTGTATCAGCGGGACCGGTAAAAAACAACAGTACATACATACCTTAGTTATTTATCATGGTTTAAATATCATTTGGAAACCTGGCGTGACGATGCAGAAACTGCAGTCTGCAGCCCTCCGGGACTGGAATTCTAAGACCTCGTCCTGAGAGCGCTCATTCCGGATCACGCTCATTTTGTCTCAGATGTCAGCCCCTCATACAAAAACGCCTTTCGTGACGAGGCATTAACAGCGTCTGCTTTTTAGCCGTTTAGTATTTATTTCATTCAGCGTTCCGGCAGGCCTATAGTTGAGAACACACTCAGTTGGTAGTTTTGTAAACTTTACACTTTCATTAAACTTTTTGTTGGTAAATGTTGTGAGTGTGTACGTCTAGGTAGTTTATTATTTCAAAATGGTAACCCACCTATTATATAACTTCCACAGTTGCCTTGGCACTGTGCGGAGTTTTGTAACAGCGTAGGTGCCGCACCATATAATCGTGTGTTTATGCCAGAGAGCCCAGACACAGTCATGTTTCCGTATTCTGTCCAACTGAATAAACAAACGTCATCCATCTCAATGTCGATGGCATTGGTGAGCGAGAACGGCGCTTTTTTAGCTGAGAAGTTCATGTACGCCACTAACTGTTGCGTAACAGCCATGTGCGTGACCCAATTACTATCATTTTATTCCTATACTCTACACACTTTACATAAGCACATAACCTAACGATACTATTATTCAAATGTTATCCAAACAATTGACAACATTTTGTCCATATCATAACAACATATAACGTTTTTTGATGTCCTCAGATTGGACTCTGTCATAGGTACTTTTCTCCAAGCTATAAACACAGTTGTTTCATGTCAATGCTGCAATATAAGGTGACTGATTCTTGCTTTTTAGTTCCTTGACATTTTCCCCCTTTTATTTGAACATCACTTCTTCACGGGTAACGTAACTGAGTGTTGCCTCCCCATCCATGTTACTTCCCCTACGAGTTTTTTTCTACGGTATCCTTGTCCTCGCTTTCCTCCCCCTGTCCCCTCCCGCACCCATCCCAGGCTCGCGCCCCCAGCCCTTCCTTCCCCCTCACCCAATCCGTGACCGCGCCTCTATCACACCGCAGCGTCACCGTCTCGTTTCAGACGTCACGTCACGTCACGCTGTCGTCTCTCGTCGGTCGCCGGACGTCCCACTGTCCTCAGTGCCCGTCGGACCCGTCCAGTGACCGGTCACCGACTGAGAGTCAGACAGTGTACTGCCGGCGCCGCCCGGGTCGGGTCACCGCTGAACGGGTCAACAGACGAGCGGCGAGTCAGAGGCCGGTCGATACTGACGGAAGGGGCACGGACGCACCATGACTGCTGAGTGAGTACTAGACAAACAACAATCTACAATAAATGTGAAAGGTAAAGCATTATGCATGCTCTAGGTCGTGCTTTGAGAGTTTTCCTAAATTCTAATTGCTTTTTGTTTGTTATGGTTTAGCGACAAGTTACGTCTGTCACGTCCGAAATGTTTGCTTATATTACTATACGCGATTATATGTGATTGATATGTATAATGGCGCCATCACGAATGATTAATGGTCTTGCAATACCTTCGAGACATATTGCTTGTAATGTTCCCCGAAGCTGTATTCACTTCAAAAGCAATTCTTTCATTTTCTTTCTTTTTATGTAGTGACATTGGTGACTTTGTACCGCAGGCTGCAAGAATATAAGAAAAGAAAATGGTCGGAACGATACAAATCGTCCTTGAAACAGCTCAAGCCAATAAGGACAAAATCCAAGTAAGTGCTTCGTCCCCACACTTCGCCCATAAAATGTTACGTGGTTGGAAGTCCACAGAACACCTATTGGAAACAGGTACTCGTCGTCTCGTCGTGTGACATTCGGCTTAGCTTTGGCTATACTCAACTGAACAAGACTATATGCTTTAGTCTTGCGCATCTGTCGTCTAAGGTGAACCGAGGCACTTCCTTTCTTTGCTACCCTTGCGATAATGCATGTGAGGAGCGCGACCATGTTGAGGACCTCGAGGTCACGTAGTTATCTCTGTGCACGCCGTCCTCCGAGCCAGCCCTCTCTTGTTTATCGCAGGACAATGGGCTGGTGGGACATGTTGTCACCGTACTGGCCCTGTTTGGATCGCCGCGCTGGGGAGCAGAAAAAAACACCCGGAAGCACTCTACTGTTACCCACACTTAGACAGCTATGCTTTGCCCGGCCATGACCGGCTCACCAGACAATGATAAACATATTTATCCGTGTTGGGCGTTTGATTGTGTGTGTGTGTGGGGGGGGGGGCAAACATGAGTTGGGTCACTGACCAGCTGCTAATTGATAATTTGCTACTTGGCGCTCTCAGCTCTGAAAATCACAAAACCTCTGGCTTTTCACGTAGCCATGAACAGTTATTGAACAAATTATTTAATGTTGCTCGTTAAAGGGAGTGTGCCACCTTTGAAAGATTTCCCATTTTATTTTTCCTAGGATAAGAAGCTTCTGTTTTTACCTAATATCGCAAAAAAATCACAAATGGGCCTAGGTGCCTTTTTTTCGCCTAAAAGTTTATCGGTTTTTCGATATGTATAACAACTGTAGTGGGCTGATCTGCAAACAGGCGTCGGCAACAATCGCGAATGCGGCGCACATGTGACAATAAGCAAAGGTCATTATAGAGTTACGACGTGCGGGAATGAGTTATCGGCTGTCTAATCGTAGACAACACAGTGTCGAGCCTTAACCCGCGCACCGACGGGGGTCTGCGCCAACTTAGTACCGACGGGGGGGGGGGGCGGATGACCGCCCCCCCCTGAGATCTCGAGAACGAAGCAAGATAGCGACAAGCGGTAAACGGCATCGGATACGCACGGACAAGGTCTACAATTTTTACTAAGGTCATTTTCAGGTCAGGTCAAAGATGACGTCACAGGGGTCGAAAAAGTCAAAATGGCGGCGCTAGATATGGAGAGGGGTTTTCTCGAATAACTTTCGAAGTAGTCAAAATAGGAACAAACTAAGGGCATCATCGTGATTCTCTCGTCAATTCGCATCGAATGATATATATGTTGACCTCGAAAGGTCAAGGTCAAAGGTTGACCTCAGGTCACGTGACCTCGAGGTCATCATGTATATCCTTTGATGCGTCTTGACGAGCTGAACACAATGAGACCATCCGCGCGGCTGTATCTTGTTCCTGTAAGGAGTTATTGGCAAAAAACCTTTGGTGACCTTTGATGACGTCACATGACCTTACAGCTGCCCAACAGCAAAACATACCTCAAGCTAGTGAAGGTTGATCGTATGTGAAGTCATGTATGGTATATGGGGCCATTCCGACCCGTTTTAGTGGTAAAAACAGGGAGTTGATTTTTCCCCCATTGACTTATAATGGGGAGGTCGCGAAATTGACCTGACCTTAGGTCACCGACATCAAAATTCCGAGATATACAAATTGTAGCTACTAATGACCTAATAACATCCTGCGACTTTCAAAGGCCTCCGACATCTACTGTAGCTCTGGCACGGTGACAAAGTTGCAAAAAAGTGACTTGAGGTTGGGTCATTCAAAGTGACCTGGTGACCTGACCTTAAAAGTTAGGAGGTTCAAACTTGCACACCATGTGTAAAATTGATGAGAAAATAGTCATACCAAATTTCGCGGCTATCCGCGAAAAACCTCAGGGGGGGCGGATATCCGCCCCCCCCCCCCCGTCGGTGCGCGGGTTAAACTGTAAGCCTGTATTGGTATTTTTTTCTTTTATTTGGCTGTCGAACATTATTTATGGTTTGAAATGTGATTTTATGTAAAATAATTGATATGAAAAAGCCGTCTCTTAAGTTATGACCCCATTTCACCACACGCAAGTGGCAGAAATGACAATGATCAGCTGACGCATTTTTCTTGGCCGAAGTCAGAGCGCGCGGCCCAACGCACCACCACCGCACCACAAAGTATGAGCAGAAGCCGCGCCCAAAGCCAGGGCCCCGGTAACGTGAGGTAGCCGAGTCGGGGCAGCGTGCGGTGACCCAAGCCGGGGCCGCAGCTTTGGGCGCGGTCTACCGCATCCCCGCGGGCAGCCCCGGGCTATCACATGACACCGGGAGGACGCGCGGCCCCGGCTTGGGTCAGCGCACGCTGCCCCGACTCGGCTACCTCACGTTACCGGGGCCCTAGCTTTGGGCGCGGTCTACCGCACCACCTAACAGGCGTGTTCGAAACCGCAGGAGATGATGATGAACGGGTTTATCGAAACTTGATTGGATGAGCATATCGGTAATAGCGATTTCATTGTGTGCATTTATTGTTCATAGTGGTGTGAAATGTGGTTGGGGTACGACCGACAACCCGTCGGGGCGAATTTCGCACTGGGGTACTCAAAATTTGAAGAATTTAAGACGTTTCCATGAGTTTTGAAGGTATGGATAAGTTCTAAAAATCTGGTTCTCCTTATCTGGGCCATTAACTCCATACGGTCCAGGAAAGCTGGCACACTACCTTTAAATCCATGTAAGACTCCTAGCAAAAACGTATTGCAGATGAGGTAATTTTGTGAGAAGTTCACGTGTTGACTGAGGGGGGGGGGGGCAAATGTTGGCCACTGGGGGGGGGGCAATCCGCTCGACTGGGGAGGCAATTGCCCCCCCCCCCCCAGTTAACATGTTAGACGAGGCCCTGGTGTGCTGTCTTCCAGCATGTGGCTGTCTGCACCCCGTCTATGACCTGTCCGTCTCTGTCAGAGAGCCGAAGCACCTGATGCCCGGCCCTGGCCGGGGTTTTCTCTCCCTCTACACTCTCTCATGGATGACCGGACTGATGTGGAAAGCATGTCGGGGTAAACTGAAGCCCGACGACATCTGGACACTTCGGGTACGAAAATGGTTTTTTTTTTAGTCGTTTGGGAAGGAGTATGATCGTTCACGCACGAAGTACCTATTTTAGCCTGGCGTCCCATTTCAATCGAATATCAGAAGCCATTGCATCGAACCAGTAGTGGTACTCTTTTATAGAAATTAAATGTATCCTAAGTTCGCGTTAGGCTCCCTTGATGCATCCCTTACTATCCCCGTTAGAATGAGGACTCATGCGAGACCAACTACATCCGTCTGGAGCGGCAATGGCGGCAAGAGGTGGCCGACAAGGGGCCGCAGAATGCCTCGCTCACCAGGACGCTGATTCGCACCTTCCGCACGCGCATCGTCATCACCACCGTCCTGCTGCTCGTCTCCAACTTCCTGGCGCTGCTCGGACCAGTGAGTCGGGATTGCAACCTGTAGCTTTCAACAATGGGGTTGGTTATGGTGAATGACGCTCTCAATTGATGTGCTGCATATATGCCGCACAGGAAGCCGTTGTAACATTATCATGAAATCCTGTCACCGGTTGAGAGCACTGAATGTAGGATTCACATATAATTCTTATGTAAATAAATTTTGGGAAGCTTTTTTTGGTACAATGAGTAAAAGCTGTTGCAAATTAACCCTATTAGTGGCAGGGGGGGGGGGTTGTTTTTATCCACCCCTCAGGTTTTTCGGGAATATCTCCGAAACCGCTGAAGCTACGATGCTGAAATTTTCTGACTTTTCCTAAAACTAAATTGGGCACATTCCCTGAAAATTTCAAGTTCATAACTTTACCAGGGGCGGCTCCAGAGCACTGGGCATTGGGGGTCCTATTCGTGAAGCGAGTCATTTGGGCGAAGATCACGATGCTGCACCAGTTTTACGAACAGTGAATGAAAGGTATCATGTGATAACATATACAAAGTTATTGTGCATCCTCTTTTGACACGTTTTTGCTATAATAGGCGGATCCAGGCGTCCAAAAAGGGGGGTTATTTTTTACCTCCCAACATAGGTGCCCTGACACCGCCTATGCATGACCAATACAATTTTAGTCGTTCTCTCATAAGAAAATTGTAACATAACAAGACCATTGCCACCCTTTTTAGAAACAGTACCAACAAAAATCTTATTTACTATACTTTTTGTGTACCCCCAATCTCAATGATCTGTATCCGCCTATGATTTTTGAAAATGCATATTTTTAGGATCCATGTGAATTCCTGGTTCATTCTCTATCGATCGGCAAAAGTTGCGTTAAGATTGGTTCAGAAACCTGGCCGTGATAAACAGTCTAAAATGTATCTGCAATTTGCCCGTTTTTACCCCCCTCTACCCCCCTATTGACATTTTTTAAGTTTATATTTTTTTTAGAAATGTAGATCTCGTTGAGCCAAATCGAACCCCGTTTGAATTTTGAAAATCGGCCGGTTAGATCTCGAGATATCAAGGGGGGGGTCGTAAACAGCCCCCCTGCCACTAATATGGGGTAGCCAGGAGCCTGCCACTAATAGGGTTAAGGTCCTGAATGAGCCCTCTCCCGTCTCGTAAATACGGTGGCCTCGGGCGGTGGGCCCCAACGGCGTGGGTGCTCCCAAAATATCTCAACCGCTAGTGAGGGCTGCCAAATGACCGGACCAGTTGCTGGACGACTAGCCGGCCGGCGGCACTTATATAATCCTTACCGATCCTGACCGACAATAATTATATAATGTGATGTGGGTATTCATGTACACTGGAAATGTGAGAGAACAGCGCAGATCCGAACGGAGTCCATTCCAGCTCAACCACGATTACAGGATGCCGCCATCGATGATCTAAATATCAACTGCACCTCCACCATCAGACGCTCACTCTCCCGTCCTCTTATACAGCCCATGATGACACTCCTCCCTCCCCTCCCCCAGTCGGTCCTGCTTCGTCAGGTGATGCTGTACCTCAACTCGGGCTCTGCTCCGCTCGAGGAGGCCATCCTTCTCGTGGTCGCTATGTCCGTGGTCCGCCTCTTCTCTGCTTACTTCATGTCGGCAGCGACCGGCATCACTTCGGTCTTCACAAGTCAGTTGGGCGAAAACTGTAAAAAAATGTTTAAAAAGTTTTTTTTTTCTTTTCAAAACGTTTACATTTTTACAGTGAATAAGGCTGCTGGAATCTAGGGGGAGAGTGGGGCTATGCGTTACACTTTTTGGTCTTCTGCACTTAGTGGCCAGGCTATTCAATGAAATTGCACCAAATTTGGCCACATGCTAGCTGAATCAATTTGGAAAGCACATGCAAACTTTCACTTCTTTACGACTATTCACTTTTATGTGAAATTCAGAAAATCAAAGCAAGATTTTTGGGGTAAGTTGAAAAATTGTGGGGCAACTTGATACACGATATGGGGTAACATGTTACACTTCTTTTTCCGTAGTTTCTTCATCATTATAACGGTCATTGGCCGTCCTATCGGAACCGATCGTAAGCCTCCCTAATGTATAATACTAAACATGCTTTCCTTTCTCATTGAAAGGCAAGAACAATAAAGCATAAACCATTACTGTACTCCACACGCATGAAAAGGCTCATCAAACATGGCTCAATCTCTGATTTGTCTTTACTGCGACGCCAAGGGCACCATATGCATTGCCATGCTGACCGAAGTTTGATTTTCTGCACGAAATTTACGCCCAGGTGAAATGGAGCACGCTATAAGCAGTCTTGGGTAGCCATCTTTAAACATGCCCCGGCCCTGCGGCGGCCGACTTTCACAAGACTGAACTCAAATGTTTGTTTACATGAAGAGGCTAGTTCGTTTTACTTGGTGATCTTACAAAAGAAATCATCGCTTAATTTTGTGAACATACATTCAACATTCCTACACAAATAATCTTGACAAAAAACGACCCAAAGTCTTGGCCAGCAAAAAATACTTTTGCTGTCACAACTTACCCCAGTGCGCCTACAGGGCGACATGGCGTTCCACCAGGTCTGAGCCTGCAGTGACATGTAAAATGTGCGTGACCTTTCTGCTAGCGTAAATATTGGCGCCATATCAAGAGTATTTTTAAAGATATTTCCTTTGTAACAACTTACCCCTGTAACAACTAGCCCCACTCTCCCCTATTCACATTAAACACTGGTAGAAACATCTACATGCATACATATGTACTTGCTGCTTACTAGACTATTGAAATTTGTATTATAGTCAATTGAGCTTCAATGGTGGTTCAAATCCAAGTGATTCATAAATCGTTTTTGAGCCGCACAGCCTTTATGCTCATAAACCAGTCATATTGATTTTCTACGGTCGTCATACGCCCGCTAACGGATCTAACTAATTTTAGGTGTGAGGGCATCCGGGGCTCTCCAGCTGATGGTGTACCACAAGGTACTGCGGCTGGGCTCAGCCTCTGAACAGATCCTCGGGAAGGTTGTCAACATCTGCATCAACGACATGGAGCGCGTTATTGAGGGATTCCGGGTCGCCTCATTCGTTGCCGGTGAGTATGTGTAACAGGTCGCCAGGCTCTTATTTGGGCGGGAATAATGAAAAAGTTGAACATTTAACCCTAAAAACCAAACGAATACTAACGAGCCCCTAACTATATGATAGCTTTAGCGAGTCAATTGTTTTGCTGGAATACGTGAGATTGCATGGCTTCTCATTGGTGTTAGACGTCTCTGAAGATCACAGGCTGATTCAACTTTTTCAGCTGCTCTGTTCATGACCGGATACGGATTTGTGGCGAACTTGGTGTATGTTGGACCATGGTCTCTGCTGGGATTCAGCATGGTCATTGGATCATTTTTCATCTTGGTGAGTACTTCGCGTGAAGACATATTTTACGATTGATGGTCAATTGCATGGATAAACAAAATACTTTCAGGTAAAAGTAGGTATGTCGATGATATTAACCCTCGTGGGCCCGGGGGGGCGTTTTTCGCCCCCCCCTGGCGAATATTTGCGATAGCTCCCGAACGCTTAGGGATAGGAAAGCGAAACTTTCAGTACCTTTTCTCCCATCAATTTGACATCTTATGAAGTAAAAAATTTGGACCTAGTCCCATTGATGACGTCAAAAGGTCCATTTTTCTAGACCCCTGCACGGCAAACTTCGGCGTCACAGACGCAAACTTCAAATAGCTGCTAAAAATAGAGTTTTAGAGATGAAGACAAATTACGAGCACGGTTGTGTAGCGTTTGACCTAGAGAAAAATAGAAAAATAGTTTTGGTGACCTGAGGTCAGAGGTCAGGTCAACGACCCCGAAATGTGGTTTTAGTTTTTCGCAAATAACTTCGACAAAAAAGGTCCTAGAGCTACGGCATTGGTACCATCGCATTCGCCTTGTCAAGCCGCGTCGAATGATATATATTTTGTTCGGAAAAGTTCAAGTTTTATGTTGACCTCATGTGACCTCGAATGACCTCTGGTTGACCTTGACACATGAGAAGTCATTTATGATGGATTTGTACCCGCTGATCACGAATCTGGGATCTATTTTTCTCTAAGCCTTCATTTAGAGCTTCTGGACGGCAAAATTGTCTTATTTATTATTACTAGCTTGAATCAGTGAAATAGCCTCTAGCAGGGATACTCTTCTGTAACCTTGACCTTTGAGCAGCCTTGTATCGTAAGATGAGCCACAAATAGTGAACTGATAAGCCTCAAAACATTTCAAAACATCTTGGAAGCTAGCACGCAAGATGGGCGAAAAAGTGCCAAGTTTGAGGTCAATTTGGAGCGTGACCTTGACCTTGACCTTTAATTTTAAGCACATTTTCGGAATTCTCAGATTCTCTTCTTTTGTTTGACACCCAATTTTGCCCGGTTTGATGCAGCCTGCCGTCCTCTAGAAGGCTTACTTTGAGATCACTACACATGTGCCGGTTTTTGCCTTTGACCTTGACCTCTGACCTTGAAAATTGACCTGAAGTCAAAAATTTTAGGTGCTTTAGAATCGTCTTGTAAGGACCTTTTGTTTGGTATCGCTTTTGTTTCCGTAGCTCCCTTATTTACGGAGTTAGACAGGGGGGGGGGGCGAAAAACGCCCCCCCCGGGCTGCGGTGGTTGGGATTACCCCCCCCCCCCCCGGGCCCGGCCGGGTTAAGCTTCGTACCGCAATAGTATTTCAAACAATACGAATTGTGTAACTTCGAAACGATAGCAACTCCCTGAGTCAGTAAAGACACGTTGGAGCTTCGGATTCTCGCAAAAAAAGATGCATCATAGCTTTTCCTAGTCATTGTAATCGTCATAGTGCGCACCGTGATCTTCATTTCACGGATGTTTTTGCAATTACACGCTTACTAACCACGTGAGCGTGCATGAATGTTTAGGAATGTCACCTTCAAGGCTTGGCCCTAGCTGCTCGTCTGTCCGTTTGCGCAACTGCCAACTTATCGTGACAGGCATGCAGTGTAATAGCTACAACATCGATATGTGCTTCTCTAACATGAGCTACATAACACATGCGCCCAAACGATGACGTAGGAGTGATTAACCCGCGCCCTGCTGGGGGGGGGCAGAATCTGCCCCCCCTCCCGTTTTTCGCCAATAACTTCTACACGCGTTACGCCAGCGACGTCAAACTTTCAGTACCTTATCATACATCAATTTGACACGTTCCCTGAAAATTTGAGCGAAATCCGTCGGAAATTTTTTGAGAAATTGACGTTTTAGTGACGTCATGTTCGCCATTTTCGCCTAAAAAACGGCAAAATTTCAAACGCCGCTAACTTCTTCATTTTTAAAGGAATCAAGACGTAACAAAAAAGGTTATACGTGATTCTACTTTGTCTATCAAATCGCTATCTCGGTTTTTTGAAAATGTTGGATTTTGGCCAACATTTTTCCAAAAAACTGACTTTTTTGGGAAAATATTTATAAAATCCAAATTTTTGAGTTTATCGAAAAAACCGGAATATATGTCAAAGAAGTGGTCTATGTGCACCTACATACCAATTTTTAGAAGAATTGGTTCAAAAATGTGGGAGTTATTCAAAATTTTATGACGTCACGACACACAAAAATTTTAAAAAATGATTTTTTGGAAGTTCTAGACCTCGCACGGAAATAAAAATAGCACCATTCGATTCGCCGTGAAAAACTGCATCGGATAGACACCTTTTTAGGCCTTAACAACCAACTTCAAAATTTGACCTCACTTGACCTGACCTTGACCTGACCTCGACCTGAAATTCATCCAGAGGTGGTCCATATCACTTATTGAGTGTGCCTATTGAATTCCATGAGTAAAATGACCCATAAAACATGTGTCGCACATGCCCTTTTCTATATTTTGTTTTTGGTGACCTGACCTGACCTGACCTGACCTTGACCTTGACCTTTGAATGACATTGTGTGCAACGAATATTGTCTTGGTAGTCTAAGAACACGTTTTGGGCAATCAGTCTCAGTCTATTCTTCGGCAACTACGGTGCAAGGCCGATACTGTAGAAACTTGCATTTTGTACCCTTGACCTGACCTTGACCTGACCTCTGACCTACTTAAGCAAAAAAATTTGGGCTCTTAAGATCCGCCTTGTTGAGAGCTTTCGATTGCCGTTTTCCCCGTCTTTCTACGACCATCGGTTCGGAAGTTAGACAGGGGGGGGGGCAGAATCTGCCCCCCCCCCCCCCCCCCCCCCCAGCAGGGCGCGTATGGCTGAATAGCCCAGCGGGGCGCGGGTTAATACCGTCTTTTTCAGCATGTTCGTTGCTATATAGTATTTAACATATCATTTACGATTTAGCTGAGAAAATCCGAGCGCCCGTCTAACGATCCCGTCTGGATCACAACACCCGTTTACGAATATCTTCAACTGCGTGTTAGGCAGACGCCTTTAAGTGCACAACTATATCGGTGTTGCTGTTTTCAGGGCAGTATCGGCGGAGCCAACAGCGTCCTGCGGATGAAGGTAGTGAAGGTGACGGACAAGCGCGTGACCTTCATGTCAGAGCTCTTGGCCGCCATACGACTCATCAAGACGTACGCCTGGGAGGAGAGCTTCAAAGAGCAGGTGGTTTTTTCATGTTGCGCTAGAAACTTTGGGGCATCGACAACAGATACCAACAGCTAGAAAGTATATTTAGAAGTTTGAAATTGGTATACTTTGAAAATCGATAAATAAGAAGCGAGCATTTAGAACCCAGTAATGTTTTTATCGTAGGAAATTCATTACTCCAAAATAGGAGGGGCACGCTACGATTCATTCCTGATTCAGCAACAGTCTCTTTGTGCAGAGACCATTACCCGGGCCCTGGTGGAGGGGGGGGGGGACTATTTTTGTCCGGAGGGCGAATTTTTTTTAACTGACCCCACCAGGGCGCGGGATTATATTGATGAGGGAAGCAGCCTCATGTATACAATATGTCAAATCATCATCAGCATTAGCGTCCGCTTCCATTGAACCCTCGTCACGCACCTTTCTATCGGGTGTTCACCATGCTGTTCCACTGTTTCAGGTCGACAAGATCCGCAGGGAGGAGGTGAAGGTGATACGACGCACCACGTTCCTTCAGTCAATCTCCACCACCCTGGCGCCCATCATACCGGTCCTCGCCACGGCCACCTCAGTCATCGGATACATGTGAGTCGGTGCACATTAGTGAACGTGGTAGAGCTTCATCATGCTTGACAAGGCTTTCGTCTCGGAAGTCAGCGGGAAACTAAGCCTTTCAGCTGTGAACTATGTATGCTGAGGAAAGTCGCAATGAAAGAAGTGCCCGTTTGGAGCATGGTAGCATCTATTCTTCGTTATCCCGTCAAAATCCATACCGTTCCGTTTTACAGTGCCAGCGGAAACGAACTGAGGGCAGCGGAGGCGTTCACAATGTTCTCCGTCTTCAACAGTCTTCAGATGGCCATCGGGGTCCTCCCCTACGGCATCCGCATGCTGACGGAGACCCACGTGGTGCTCCGGCGAATCCAGGTGAGAGTGCTGTTTTCCTTCAGCATTCTGAAAAAGCTATGCCCATAGACCTCTACAGGCCATAGACCATACAGACAGAGGTCTATGCTATGCCATGTAATTGCGGATGTTTCTTGAGTCTTCCCGTGCAGATCTGATCTTTACCGTTCCTTCTCTCTGTTCTCGGTAGCGTATGCTGCTGATGAAGGACGTCGATATGGTCACGGCGCACTGCGACTCTGGCAGTGCCATCGAGATCGAGAAAGCCACCCTGGCCTGGGAGAAGCCAGTGGTGGAAAAGGAAAAGAGCGATAAACCAAGTACGTAGGAGTATATAATATACATGTGTCGTCCAGATAGTTTGAAACAATGGATGGCTGGAGTCGTGTATTCAATCAACGTTCTTTGACATTGACTACCAATGCTTCTGGTGTCCAGGAATAAACCACATCTAGACAAAATAATCAGATAGGCACCTGGAATTGGTGACAGGAGCATTGAGCTAGCAACGTTAAAGACGTTTCTAAACACTGCATTCGTCTCCAGAACGTAACCAGTCGTCCAAGTCGCTGTCACGTGACCTGTCGGCGCCGCAGCTGCCTTCGCTGCCGTTGGGGGAGCGTCTACGATCTCTGAGCTCCCGACGGCGCGCCCGGGACGCGGACAAAGCGCTGGACGCCGAGGCGGCCACTGTCATCAACGTGGTGCTGACCGATGTGCAGCTGACGGTGCCGCGCGGCCGCCTGCTCGGCGTGGCCGGCGCCGTCGGCAGCGGCAAGTCGTCCCTCGTCGCCGCCATTACCGGACAGGTGGGAACAAATATCTCTCAGTTTTGTGGTTAGTGATGCTTCGAGTGCCGGTGCTGTACAACAGTGATGTTATGTGCTTGATAGCGTCGTGCACATGGATACTGTTTCCTTCAAAGTGGTACAGAGATGGTACTAGGTCGTTACCCACCGTTTAGCCCCTACCCTCCCCGTCCGCAGCTGCAAGTGCTGTGTGGCTCTGTGCGTCGCGCCGGTTCCCTAGCCGTGGTGCCGCAGCGAGCCTGGATCTTCAACGGTACCGTGCGAGAGAACATCGTGTTCGGCCGGCCGTTCGTGGCCGATCGGTACTGGCGCACGGTGACTGTGTGTGCCCTGCAGTCCGACCTCGACCTCATGGAGAACGGCGACCTCTCCGAGATCGGCGAGCGAGGCGTCAACCTCAGGTCAGCTGACCGGATGTGGAAGCGGGCTATATGTCTGGGGGCATCTTCATTGCTTTTTCCTGGCACAACTTCAGGTAAGGGCTCGATTTGGTGCTATTTTAGCTCTTGATTCCGAGGTCAAGATCAGGATTGCGTCTTCATTGGTAGCCTCGTCGAATGCTTCGCTGCGGTTGACCTCTTCCATAGACTGCAATGAGCGAGGTGACCTGCTGTCTATTTCTGTGACTTTTCCCATGTGATTTACCTCCCTTTTCATCTTTCTCCTCCGCCTATATGGCGCGCAGCGGTGGCCAGAAGCAGCGCGTGAACCTGGCGCGCGCCGTGTACGCCGATGCCGACATCTACCTGCTGGACGACCCGCTGAGCGCTGTCGATACCAAGGTCGGACAGCACATCTTCCAGCAGTGCGTGTGCGGCGAACTCAAGGACAAGACCGTGGTGCTCGTCTCGCACGGTGTTCAGGTGAGGAGGTCCCTCGGTCAGGAGGTCTCCCTATCCAGAGATGGAGGGAGTGTAGCCTGCAGAAGGATGTGGTGGGGTTTGCAGAAGTCGAGGCATTTGCTGACGTCGGTTCCTTTCTCCTCAGTATCTGTCGCACTGCGATGAGGTGGTGTACATGCGAGACTGCAAGCTGGCCGAGCGCGGCACCCACGATCAGCTGATGGAGCTGCAGGGCGGCTACTACCAGCTGGTCAGCTGCGACGCCGCCAGCCAGCAGCAGGAGCACCAGAAGAAACCAGAGGACGGCAAGAAGGCAGAAGAAAAGGCCGCCACTGATGGTAGATATTCAAACATTTGCCTTGACCTGCAGGTCATTCATATGCTCGGTGCAATGAAGTCTGAATGATTGCTGTTAAACTGAACTGTCGACTGCTGCATGTTTTCTGACATACCGTTCCGTTCAAAACCTCTGTATGCTAAAGTTAGCGCTGATGCTTCTCGGGTCCTGTGTTACAGCCAATGGTTCTCCCGGTGGAAGGTTCACCACTACCGAAAAGTTCGTCTCCACTGCAGGGATCTTGAAGAACTTTGCTGTGTTCTTTAAGGTATGTTGGACGTCTTGTTATGAACTCTCATGTCGATGTTGATGATTTTTCTTTACCTTAATCCGAATGTGTTAACAGGAGATAGTTGACCAATGAAGATCATATATATTTTGTTGGCTCAGCCTTTTGCGGCTATTCCGATACACGACATATCGTTCCCACAATTTCTCCTTAGAACATGTGTCCAGAATCAGATCCTGCGCCCCTTCGGCATGTCGTTTCTCTGTGACTGCTGTCTGTTTACCAAGTACCTCACCATCTCCCTACAGCTGTGCGGTCTCTGCGGGATGATGATGCTTTCCACGCTGATGCTGATGTGTGGCGCAGGCCGCACCGGTACCGCTCTATATCTGCAGTACTGGATTGACGCAGGGGACGGCCTCATGGTAAGCGATGTAACGTCTCGAAAGATGATAGTGTAGGGAGGTATAACCGAGGAGCAGCATGCGAAAAAACATTATGCTAGCGTTCATAATGTTGTTGTGTCAAAGCAAGTCATGACCGCCCCGCACAGGCAAAAATGGCAAAGGAAAGGCAAGCATCATCGTCAAGAGACGATGTTTTCGAGTCTACGAGAGACTGATAATGACCAGTCTTCCAATGTCATCTTGACATCCCATCTCTGCCCGTGATCTGTTATGAATCGTGTTGGACTATCCCACCCGACAATTCCTTCCGATCATGTCCACAGGAGGAGCGGATCAAGAACATGACGCTGTACAACGTCACATACGACCCGGGCGAGCTGGCTGGGGCTATCAACGACAGTCCCCATGTGGACTACTACATCCTCGGATACGCGGGGGTCACCCTTCTGCTTGTCCTCATCGGTCTGGTCAGGGGTAAGGGCTGAAGAAATGTGAAAATGATGTGCGCTTGGCTCACTTGGGACTTCTCATCGTACTCATTTTATTTCTGACATAAAGCTCATGCTACTATTTACGAATACGTTAAATCATTTGCCGTATGACTTGGCATGACCTGAGCTGCCATGTGATTTGACATGACCTGAGCTGTCAATCTCTTTGAACAGTGGTGCTTCACAACGTGTGCGTGGTGCGTGGGGCCAGGCGCCTACACAACAAGATGATCGACAGCCTGGTGCGCTGCAAGATGTCGTTCTTCGACAGCACTCCGTCGGGGCGCATCATCAACCGCCTCTCCAAGGACATGGACACCGGTACGGCAACAATTGACGATCTCCGTCAAAATATTGTCCATGAAGCAAACTGTGGTTCTGGGTAATGCTTTGGCCAAGGTGCTTATAAGTGGTCGTCAGTCAATGTCCCGGGACTTCACACTTAATTCTAGTCGTGAAATGCCGTTAGGCCTCAAATGAACATGGGAAACAAGCTCAATATTTTAGTTTCAGAGCTATTAGAACAGAATTCACACTAAAAATTGACCCTCGCACATTGACGTCAAGTATCGGGTTAAAAAAAATAGAGTGTTTGTTCTAAGCCTCTTTTGACCCATAGCATCTTACAGTGGACAACCGCATCCCTGAGCTGTTCGAGTTCATCGGTCAGCGGCTTCTGATCGTGATAACCCAGCTGATGGTGCCTATCGTGGCATTCCCGTATTCCGCACTCATCGTGGTCTTCATATTTGGTAAGAATATCGAATATCGTAAAAGTTAGCTCGAAAGTTCGAAACTTTATCGTCAATGTTATCAACGGTTCAGAAACTGAAACTGAAAGACTTTCGATGTAGTATAAGACCACTTTCGCAGGAGGTACTCGAAAGCTACCGTTGGTAGATACGTGATCTCACATTATCTTTCTTTCTCTTCTCAGCAATGTATGGCATCATTTGGCGCTGCCTGGTGGCCGGAGTCCGGTGCACGAAACAGATCGAGAACGTGGCCCGATCCCCTCTGCTGCACCATCTGAGCTCCACGGTCGGGGGGCTGACCGTCATCCGCGCCTACGGAAAGGAGAGCATGATGATTGACAAGTGAGCTGCTGTGGGAAACGATGTGGAGGGGCTGTGCCGATCAAGTAACATTTGTCCTATGTAATTCTGCATAATGCACAGCCACGGACCTTGGGCTTGACCACTCAACCTCCATTCCCTCAGGTTCGTCGACCTCCTGGACCGACACTCATCGACTATGATGACGTTCCGCATGTCCAACTCGTGGTTCACGCTGCGCGCCGATGAGCTCGGCGTGGCCATGCTGGCTGTGATCGGTTCGGTGGTGCTTCTGGTGCCTGGTGCCTCGTCCGCTGAGGCCGGCCTGATTCTCAGTCTGGTGTACGACTCGATCCTCGTCATGCCGTTTCTTATAATGAGGTGTTCCGACCTCGCCGCCTTCCTGTCTGCGGTGGACCGTTGTACGGAGTATTGTCAGGTGAGGAGCTTTCAGGGGAGGTAGAAGGGTCTTGGCAGGTTAGGGCCTTCAACGCCTGTCACCACACGTTTGGACTGCAACTAGTAGGCACCTCTGTGCACTCTTCAAGCGAACCCTAGCGAACAATTGATGAACTCGCTTCACCACATCACACTCTTCATAACCAGAAGCCTGATCACCGACTACCCCAATGCGCTGCGGCAGGATCTTGACTACGAGCCACCAGCTGAGATGCCCGGTGACGAGAAGCGCGAGGGTCGCTGGCCGTCCCAAGGCGCCATCTGTCTGGAGGGAGTCAGTCTGCGATACCGGCCCGACCTGCCGCGCGTGCTGCACGGCCTGTCGCTGAACGTGCCGGCAGGGGAGAAGGTCGGCATCGTCGGCAGGACGGGTGCAGGTCAGTGGTCGCTGTACGGAACGGGCGCAAGTCCGCTGCGGGTCTCAAGTCATTCCATGATGCTGGGGATTGCAGATGAAGAAGTGTCGGATGCCAAGAGGGCATAGTGTCTGACGTAGCGAATGTACCTAATACTGTTTTCCTTAGAAACGCCTTTAAAAATGAAAGCCGTTTTTTTTTTTTGCTGACTGCCCTCAGGCAAGTCGACCCTTATCTCGACCCTGCTGCGCCTCATGGACCTGGAGGAGGGCCGTGTCCTGATCGACGGGGTGGACATCTCAGAGGTGGGCCTGCGCCAGCTGCGCTCCAACATCGCCGTCATCCCGCAGGACCCGGTGCTCTTCACCGGCACCATTCGGTTAGTATGGCAGAAACGACGATTCCTTGGACCACACCAAGTCTGCCGTGTCATGCGTAATGTGTATGCCAACGCAGTACTTCCAGATTTTTGTGTTAACTGTACATCGTCTTTGTGGTTGTTGGCGACTTGTTTCGATTGTTTTAACCTCATATACGGGCGACTGTTTCAGTAACATATCTATCATCAGGTTCTCCAGACTTACTAATGACCCCGGTCCTCTCCGCCCCTGCAGCCAGAACCTGGACCCGTTCGACCAGAGCTCGGACGCCCAGGTGTGGAGCGCCCTGGAGCGCTCCGGGCTGCGCTCCAAGGTCTCCCAGCTGCCGCTGCAGCTGGCCACGCCTCTCACCCCGGACGCGGACACCTTCAGCGTCGGCGAGCGGCAGCTGGTGTGTCTGGCGCGAGCGCTGCTGCGCCACGCGCGGGTGCTGCTGCTGGATGAGGCCACCGCCTCGGTGGACGTGCAGACCGACTTCTTTATCCAGCGTACCATCCGCGAGGACTTTCACGACTCGACCGTGATCACGATCGCGCATCGGCTCAACACCGTGCTCGAGTACGGCATGATCGTGGTTATGCACGAAGGACGGGTGAGTTCCGGAAACGTTGAGGTACTGAGGATAGAGTACTGGGATTGAATTATCTTGTAAGGTGAACGAGTGACACCAACGTTCACGTTGACATGCACCAAAACTAATCCTTGAACGTATCAACATTTGTCTTATGTCTTCTTGCTAATCGCGGTTGTAAAACTCTGGCGTTGTAGATGTATGTAATGTGTGGGACATGTAGCAACGTACAGATGTAACAGGTGTTTAGTTCTGGTGCTGACCACCCCTGACCCAGCTGACCCGTCTCACGCTGCTGCTCCTCAGATCGCCGAGCTGGGTTCTCCTGCCGAGCTGGCCGACCGCGCCGACTCCCAGTTCCGCCAGATGCTGCGCCAGGCCGGCATCACGTCTGTCACCAAGTCGCCGGCGCTGCCGCCGCTCGCCCGGCAGGACACAGAGTCCGACCTCAACCATACGCCGGGCTCCACGCGCGTCAAGTTTGACTTTGGGGACGACGTGACGACACCGAACGGTGGCAGCCGCGCAGAGACGCCCGGCAGCTGCGGGGATGACGAGGTGCTGATCGCTAAGGGCGACAGCGACGGCAAGGGGTATGTTAACGAGGTCACTCACCTGTAGGAAGGTCTCCGGAGAGGGAAGCAGCGTCAGATGAGGATGACGGGCTGGTCTTCCACCGTGAACCTGAACACCTTCCTCTGATGCCTACCGCTGCGAACGATAATCTGTCCCGGGCAGCTTCACTGGGCATAAGTGCGTCTGTCATACCTACTTGATTCGTCCCAGGTTGTGTACGCTCTTGGCCTTTACGTGCGCTTCCGAGCAGTGAGCAGAAGAGTGACAGTATGCCTTCATTGAGCCTACCAAACCTTTGACTGTTTGCAATGTCAAGAAGTGCTTTCACTTGTATGGCCAACCACTATCGTTTCATCAACAAACCCAGAAGACACCAAGTGTCCTCCGTTTGTCGCCCTTAGGTTGCACCGTTGCACTCACCTGTAAAGTATTTTGTAGTTTTCTTCTATAAGCCACCTCATCATTTATTGTTAGGCTGATACTGCATTGCTGTCGAAGGATGCTTTGTCGTACTTTCCCATGCTCGCGAACTGTCAATAGCCCATAATGAACGACGAATACCTATGTGTCTTCGTCCTTATTCTATATATTTGTATTTACTTGCCTTTTTCTTCTCTATGTCAGTGTCAAGAACACAAGCGACGAACTTTGTTTGATGACATGCTGGTATGCACTTCTAATAAGACGTGTGTCACTTCACTCTGTGACGTGTGGTGGCATGGCACTACAGGGACCAAATCACTATGTATATTACACTTAATAACCCGCGCCCCGTTGAGGTCTGGCAGGGTGGTGTGTTAACCATGTTGTCGCTCTTGTTGAATAGATGTGAAGGTACTTGACAATAGAATATATCCTGAGCTATCATAATCGGCAGCGTGTTGTTATTTTCGACGCTTTTCCGAATGTCGTCAATATGCGTCAATATTCGTCATAAAGTCAGTGGAATAGATGTCAATGCCTGCAAGACAAACGAATATGTGATTGATATTTGCAGCTACGTTAGATTTAAATCATCGTTTACGATACAACTGTGGAATCAACGCACTGGATCTGATGATTCAGCAACGTACGTCTGTGAGAAAATATCGCTTCGGTCTCCTAGCTGAGCGGCGGAACTGTGTGGAATTGTGTGTACTGATCAGCCTTGCAGATTAGATGCACCGACCACTCGTTACCTTCAGCCGTGCGCCACGCCGGAGCGAGGAACCCGTCCCTGGCAGAGGATCAAAGGAAGACGAATGACAATGTGAAACCTGTTTGTGTGGTGGTGGATATGCGTAAAGGAGATTAGAAGCAGACAATAGCACAAAATAACGTAGTGTGGTGGTGGAACAATAGCGTAGGGATAGACGGGTGAAGGTTAGACCGAGATACGCGTGGGCTCGTAAACAGCGGGGGACTGGAGAACAATCGATAATGTATAGAATGTCATTATAAAAACGGGCGTGCAAGAGCTACTAACGACTGTTGGTGGGATATAAAAGAGCTCTCCTTCAAACCGGGGACACTCTCTCTGCAGTCCGAAACACTGTGCAGTGCTCCGACTCGGCGGTACGCTCCACCAGCAACCCCACAATGTAAGTCGTGAATTGCATTACCTTTGGTCGGCCGTGCCGACCAAAGGTGAGGTAATACCTCATCCCCACTAACGTTCTCTATTTACAGATACTGATTCCGGCGACAACAGGCCCAGGCTATTCACCGAGCTACCCTAGTATTCTTTACAGGTTTTACAGTTTCCCCTAGCACTTTCCACAGGTCCATAGTACGTACGAGGTGAACCGGGCCGATGAACTACACGGCGTTATCGTGTCCGTTTAACTTCTTCCTTTTACAGAGCGCAAGACTACGGCCTACGGATGGAGCCACCAACAAACACTCCCCCGATGCCAAGGCTCAGCTTTACCCGCCCCAAACCACCGAAAAGCTCGGTACATAATCGAGCGACCAATAAGCGCTCTACACTTTGGTGATTCTGCCATTTTGGTTTGGCACTGTTTCGGCATTCTGTTTCGATTACTTTTGGCACTGTTTTGGCAACTTGTTCGGCACTGTTTCGGCCCATTCCGTTCCGAATACTTGTTCGGCACTGTCTTGACACTGTTTCGGTCATTCTGTTTTCGGTAACCTTGTGCTTCGGCATATTGTTCGGTTATGTGTTTTTAGCACTCTATTTCGGCCACCTTTATTTACTACCACGGTAACATATACCGTGTATTCTCAAGCCTGAATCCGCCCTTTTTGGCAATGTTTACTTTTTGGCTTCTACGGACTCCAGGCATTGTTCAATCATTGACGTTTACCCTTTCGGCCTGTTTGAATATATTTTATCCCACTGTACGTGTCTTTGTGTGATGGTGTGATGAAGGGAATGGAGGGATATGATGTGACGAAGGGAGACAGGGCTTCGGAGGGGTCGGGCGGAGACCAGCGGGGCATGCGTACAACACGGTGTGCAGCAGAGTCGGTATCTACAAATCCCCTAGACGTAACTAAACACTTGAGGCAACAACTGGGTACACACAGGGACCACTTAAATCACACTGGGGGCTCTTGCGGTATTTTAAAATCTGTTCTGATCGAACAGAACCTTGTGCTGTGTACCCACCTTGTGATGTTGTGACGTGACTATTTGAGCCAGTGAAGTGATGTTGCTATCCGAAGTACGCCCAACCCCGCGACACGCTGATGATTCCCCGCTTATGTTTGCATGTTTGTATGTTTGTCCGACATACATATATCATCTTCAACCGATACCTGTATTTTAACAGGGTTTGTCACCATCCCATGTGCTAACAGTATACTGTCGTGTGTAATATTCCTAACGCTTGTTTAATTTATTCTACAATCAGTCAATTTTTGGTGGGTGATGGAGACAATTAGTTTTTGTGGAGTGCTGTTACATGTTATGATTCCGGCACTTCCTCCCCGACATGATACTAATGCGCAATATTTTGTTTAAAGGTCCGACGAGATCCGACGCAACTCGACCGAAATCTGCAACGACTACGACAAGACCGACGGGGACGGCTATGACTCAGACCCCGAGTCATATAAATTCGTCCGAGTCACTCCGCCACCTCCGTCACCAGATGATGAGGACTGGGACCAGGAGGCGGCGGAGTGGATGGCGACCCTATTAGCCGCTGTTAGTAAAACTGAAATGGAAAATAAAACTAATTAAAAATATTTTTCTTTGTGTTCTAAAGCGGGCTAACAGGGGCGACTAATCAAACCCGACCTGACACGACGATGAACAAAGAGTACCTAATAACGTAACTCAGGAAACGGACTGACTGACTGACGTGTAGCCATCTACTCAAGTATACACTATGTAACCTGCCGTGTGTGCGTTGTCCGACCGTATACGTTGAAGAGTAGGGCAAGGAATAGGTAGCCCACAGAAACCACACCGTCTGTTCACGAGGAACAGGATGGTCGTCGCAGCCTGGACGCGTGGGAGCTGGGGGGAACCGGTAGTTCGGGTATTGCCCCACCGTTCTACCGGACATACTCGCATAGCAGAGGGTGGTCCTCTGGGGGAACTATGCCCACCGAACATACACCGGCCGGGTATGGGTGGTATTCTCGGTCAGCTCACGTCTTAGGTTTAAGGGCCAGGCGTACAGTGGCAGGGACAATAGGTCACTTGTACCAGCGACAAAGTACCAATGCTAATGATGTTTCTTTCTAGCATGGTCAAATCGGATGATGAAGGACACGCAAAGGCGGGTGCAGCGGGAAACCCCTCCGCAACCGCACCGCCAGCACCGGAGGAAGAATACTACGAGTACGAGACGGCGGGTACAGGACATCCGGTTGCGAGTGCAGCTGGAAAGAACGCAATGGGCGGCATCGGAGGACGACCACCTCCTCCTCTTCCGCCGCTAGAGCCATCTGCTCCAGGTCAAGGTCAGTCCCGATCACAGTGGGAGACGGGGAATGAGACTAGAGGTCACCAATTTCATGCACTTAGAGATCCCGATGATCGGGGAACCGGTCATTCCGACGCTTTTATTCTGCGTCACCTGTTCTCATTCAAAGGGGAATATAACGGCAAAGCGATCAGTGATTGGCTTCAAAAAGTGGACCTCCTCAGAAAAATCACCAACATCCAGGACGAGGAACTGCTGCCGTTACTATTTCTACGAGTAGACACCAACGTCATCCCGTTCCTAGAAGGCTTGCGTGATAGACTAAGTCCGTCACAGTACACCTGGAACAGGGTGAAGCAGGCGCTCCTAGAACAATATGGGGGAGTGACCAACCCAACCACCCAGGTGAACAGACTACACTCTGCACGAATGGGACGAGACACTCCGGTTAGGAAGTTTGCATACGAAATTGAACGTTTGACTCGGCTGGCATACCCCGAGTTAGCCAGCGATGTCGGTTCCCCTGAACAGCGAGACACCCAGAAAAACATTCTGAACCGCATCGCCTTGGAACAATTTATATCAGGCCTACCACCCATGCTGAGTCGCCCTGTCGTGGAACGTCAGATCAGCGACTTCGAGGAAGCTGTCCGTGTCGCCGCTCACATGGAAGAGGTGAACGCCAGGTATTTCCGGAAGTCAACCATCAACGCCATGTTCAATGACTTAGGAGACCATTGTGACAACGCAGGTCAGGCATCTTATGACAGCAGCGACCGGAGCGACAACCACCAGCCCCGATTCCAGTCCGGCCGTGGTCGAGGAGGCGCTCGAAACCTAACACGAGGAGGCCGAGGACGGCGACCAGCCTACCAGACTCGTCGGAACCAGGAAGAGAACCAGCAGAATGGGCCCTTCCGAACCGATTTTCATGGACAAGCAGCTGGAAACCAGCCCAGGTACGAGTCAAAACCGAGATGTTATCGATGCAATAGTCCGAATCACCTGATTCGCCACTGCCCTCAGCCGCAATGTCCCTTCTGTAACGAGAACCACAGAGCTGAAGAGTGCACGAACATCGTGTGTGCGTGCTGCAAGCTACCTGGACACACGGCTAACCGCTGCTCAAAAAACTCGCAGGGCCGGAGTCCTCAGCCACCCACCAGTTAACAGTTTTATCCGCCCGTAGCCAGGAGGTATATGCGCTCATAGACAGCGGAGCGTCTCACTCGCTTCTCGACTTCGATGCGTACAAAACCCTCAGTGACAACCCCATCGTGACCTCAGATCTGTCATTGAAATCCGTCACCGGTCAAGCACTAGAGCTGATCGGATGTGGAGAAGTAACCTTCTCTCTCGCTCCTGGGCTAACGGTGACCCACTTGTTTCATATAGTCAGAAACCTCAGCCCATATGAAGCCATCTTAGGGCTAGACTTCTTGGCCGAGCCCAGACACCAGATTCATCATGATCTTTCCAACTTCTTGCTCCATGTCAGAGGGCACCCCGTCCGTCTGTTCGATTCACAGCAACAACAACCGTGCTCGCCCATCATACCTGTGGCAGCGGTAGGCAGACATCAGCATGTCAGCCCCCACTCGGTTACTTTTATCCGAGCACAGGTTAACCCCGACACGATTCAACGCATCGAATCGTCTCCTCAGGACTCCTGGGAGTTCCATCCGCACAACCAGAATGCGGACGAGCCAGTCAAGCCCCTGCGCTGCATCATTGAAGCCGACCGAATCGGCGAAGGACTCATGATCGGAATCGCCAACTACACCTCCCGGAGTTACAAGTTCCGGAATGACGAGCCGCTGGGATTCCTCACACAGGCTCAAGTCATACCATTCTCTGAGCTGCTGAGCCCCAGCACGGATGAAGCGCCTGGTGAAGAGACAGGCACAGCTTCACAGGACCACGCCGTCGTGACAGCGCATCTAGGACCTCCCATGCAACAGGTGAGACAGAGACAAGAGTGTCCCTCTAGAGCCAGCCCTTCAGGCGATACGAAGACACGGTCGTCTTTGGAACCATCGGATCACAAAGAATTTCTAGCAGCATTCAAGTACGGAGACCTGGACGATAACCACCTAGCCCAAGTCCAGAACCTCCTGGTGGAATTTCGAGACTGCTTCGCCCTCGATCACGATCCCTTGGGGTTGTGCACCAGGATCACGCATGACATCAAGACCCTGACGGACGAACCAGTCGTTTCTCAACCCTACAGGATTCCGAAATCTCAAGAACCTGAGGTCAGGAAGATCATTCAGGAAATGTTGGACAAGAAATTGATTCAAAAAAGTCATTCAGAATACAGCTCACCAGTGGTGCTGGTGGAGAAACCAGACAAAAGCCTCCGACTATGTGTCAACTATCAAAAGTTGAACGCCATCAGCAAGAAGCGGACGTTTCCTCTTCCCAATCCAGACGAACTCCTGGCCAAGGTAGGTGAAAACCACCCGAAGTGGTTCAGTTCGTCTGACTTGGCCGCCGCCTTCCATCAGGTGCCCATCAAGGAAAGCGATCGTCACAAGACCGCCTTTGTCCTACCATGGGACAAGCTCGAATTTCGAGTATTGAGCATGGGGCTCTCCGAGAGCCCATACACATTTGCACGACTTGGCATGGAAATCTTTGACGATATCCTGGCCGACGAAGGACTGGTTCTGTTCATTGACGACCTGTGCATGTACAGCCCAACGTTCGAGCATCATCTGGGAACGTGGCGACGAGTTCTTCAGCGGTTACGGGAGAACAACCTGAAACTCAAACCTTCAAAAACGCATCTGTTCTCAACGGAGGGTCTCAAGTTCTTAGGTCGACATATCGGACCAAGTGGAGTTGCTCCAAATCCTGCCAAGATTCGATCAATCAAGGAGTATCCCACCCCACAGAACGCGAAGGATGTGAGATCCTTTGTGGCATTGTGTTCTTACTTCAGGAAACATGTCCCCAATTTCGCGACAATTGCCACACCCCTTAACGCTCTCACGAGAAAAGGGATCCACTTCAACTGGACCCCTGAGTGTAACGCGGCATTTGAAGCTCTCAAAGATGCCCTGGTCAACTCCGATGTACTGGCATATCCCGATTTCTCCCCTAACCGTCCCTTCATCGTCGCTTCAGATGCAAGTGACAAAGGTGTGGGAGGATGGATCAGCCAGGAAACAGAAACAGGTGAGAGGCGTCCCATTGCCTTCTATTCACGTACGTTGAACAAGGCAGAGAAAAATTACAGTACTATTGAGAAAGAAGCATTGGCCATCGTTTCTTGTATTCAGGCATTCCATTATTACATACATGGACGATCTTTTGTTCTGGAGAGTGACCATGCCCCTCTAAAATATGTGCTTAGTCATGCCCAAAAGGGAAGAGTCCAGAACACTCGCCTGGAGCGATGGAAATTAGCCTTACAAGGTCTGAACATGACAGTACGATATGTTCCTGGTCCAAAGAATGT